TGACGGAACCTTTGCCATACAAGAGTTACCTCACCGCAAATTATCTCCCCCTTTTCGCAAGTGTCCAAGCTCCTTCCCAGCGCGTGACACCTTCGTTACAGTCTAGCTCCGTGTACGAGGTATTGCTGTGAGGAGCTTGGTAAGTGTTTAGCCCGTACACAGATGGCCGACCTTTTTACGTTACGTTATTTTCAAGGCAAAAAAAAGATGTTCATTTATGGAGTCAATATCTCATCTACGTTCCACATAGGTCTGGACAAAAAGACGAGGCCATGGCAGTACAGCAATGTTATGCTGCCTTAAAAACTATGTTACAACACGTGCAACATGTGGACTGGCATTATCCTGCTACAACGTGACGTTACGTCCCTGTATTTGCACAAAGGAAGAACATGATCTCGAACGAAGGCGTCCTGATGGCGTACGCCCATTGTGATCCCACAACATACCATTACATTTCCACTCCTAAACTGACGACGTTGAGTAACGCACGCGTCGCTAAAACGTCCCCAAGGACGCCTGTAAAACCTAGCACAACCACCCGAGCTGTCCAGATGAAACCTGGTTGGTTGGTTGGTTTGTTGTTAAACGCCGCACTCAGCAATATGCCAGCTATATGACGGTGGTCTGTAAATAATGGAGTCTGGATCAGACAATCCAGTGATTGAAATCATGAGCATCGATCGACGCAATTGGGGTCGATGACATGCATCAACCAATTAAGTCAGCGAACCTGACCACCCGCCTCTTGCGACAAGCATAGACACCTTTTTAAGGCAAGCATGGGTTGCTGAAGACCTATTCTACCCCGGATCTTCACGGGTCAGATGAAACCTTGACTCATCTGTTATCGGCATACCGCCCAGTCTTGTCTTCTGAACCATAGATGCTGTCTACAGCAAGGTAGGCGTTCCTGACAAAACTGTTATATGAGCACACAATCATTGTGTGCTATTCACATTAAATAAACGTGTGTGAATATCACGCTCCCAACAAACACGCAAACATCCAAATTGTGCGTCTTCATGAATATGCACTGAAGGATTACTTTTTTCCCGCTGGTATTATGAACATGGCAGCTAATCATTACGCTATATACAGGTGCCCAAAATCTGAACCGGAAATTGCCATACGAACAAACGACCAACGGTCCACACCATCGCCGACAATATGATTATTATGGCACCACTGGGAACCTCCTCTTCCTGGTATCTACACGGCTAGGTGCATATTTGCTAGGTGATATCGACAGTCTGTCTCCAACGTCTCGAGTAACATACAGCCTGTAATATTTATGCTTTTATGCAACATAAACGTTTGAATTAATTATCATGTCATAAGATATGTCTCCGATTCCAATATATTAAATTCACGATTTGATTATGCAAATATAGTGAGCATTCGCATAGAGCTCAAAATACCAGTCTATACATTTCCAGGAGTATTATACAAGTGCACATGCACCTATGTTGTTAGGTCGTGGATCTCCGCTTCATAGCAACATTCACTTACGATTACTTGTTCAGCTGAAGGGATTTCATTTGCTTGAATAATATTCAGTGTCAAAATAACGCACCCGAGTCATTAATGGGTATTCTATTTTTAACCAATGTGCCTCTGCATGCGAGTGGAGTGTGATTTCCCATGACATATTTCCCATCAACTTGAGGCACGTTCCACTATATGTGTTATATGGTATTTTATTTAAACTGATCCGAGCAAGAACGCCAATACATTGGAAGGGGTACACGTATTGAGATGCATGAAGTTCAAAATTGTTCACCAACATATATAAGGTGATCGTAAGAGAAAATGTTCACAAGTATGTTACTCAGTCGTGATGGCGGCAGATTTAGCATACATAAAAAGAATATATATGCTGCCAAAGTACATTAACGCACGCCACAAAAGCACAGCAAATCGTTGGCCAATGAGAACACACACACAGATATGCTCTTCAGAAGTCCTTTATGATGAAAAGAATAACATCTCGATCGATACAACCACACAGTCGAGAGCTTGTCCCTGCAGACAATATAGCCGTGTTTTGAGAGTTGCATGCGCAAGAAAGATCAATACAAGCATGATGACAGGGGCCTGACTCACCTGTGTTGCTTTGGGATTGCGCGGTTTTACGCCGCGTTAGCAATATTCCAGCAATATCACGGCGGGGGACACGAGAAATTGGTTTCGCATAGAGTACCCATGTGGGGAATCGAGCCCGGCCATCGGCGTGACGATTGAACACTTGAACCACTAGGCTACTCCATCGCCCCGTATTGCTTTGGGGGGACCAGTGGCATTTATATGCATGTCACATACATATGATTTGTTTGTTTGTTGTTTAACGCCACACTCAGAAATATTCCAGCTATATAACGGTGATCTGTAAAGAAATCCACACAACTGGGATATGATGACATGCATCAACCAAGTCAGCGAGTCTGACCACCCGACCCCGTTAGTCGCCTCTAACGACAAGCATAGTCGCCTTTTACAGCAAGCATGGGTTGCTGAAGACCTATTCTACCCCGGATCTTCACGGGTCTATGGGGAATGATGCCCCTTTCTTTGTAACTGTTAAAAGGGGGGCATCGGAGTTCAAGAGAGGAAGATAGAGCCTAAAAGATGATCCCAAACCTGGAAGTCCTTAAACTGTGACCACTAAGGATTATATACTTATCATTGTGAATTAAATTAATGTAACCATGTGATACGTTGGGTCTGTTACTCAATATTAAATAAAGTGATTGAGTGAGTTGGGTTTAACGCTGCTTTTAACAGTATTCAAGTTATATCACGGCGTGTCAGCTTAATGTGGGAGGGACGTCCGAAGTGATGCAGGTCTCAGACGTTTACCACTTCGGTGAAATCCACGAGCACGGGTATGGTGCTGACCAACCTAGAAACATAATCGGGACGAACCGGAATTCGAACCCACAATCATAGGTTTCTGCCGTGCCCAAGGGACGCAACTCTGCACAGCGAATCGCGGCGCCTAAGACGACTGGGTCACCCATGCCCCCTTTAAATAAAGAGAGTTGGATAGTTTAACTGTGTCATTATTAACAAATATGATAGAATGTCTGTAATATTAAGGCATAAAAGTAGTATACTATCGGAGAATATCCTAGAGATACAGGTCGTAAATATACATGTACATCTTGGGTGAAAACTCGAGCAGAGGCGTGGTGCTGCACACCAAGGATTCAATTCCAGTGAATGGGACTCGAACCTTTCCATTACTTTCCCTCAGATACGGCTAATGGTCAGTTCAGTGGACGATCCGTCCCCTTCTATAGCACTATGTGCATTGAAAACATTGAGTGAGTGAGTATGGTCTACGCTGCTTTTAGCAATATTCCAGAAATATCACGGCGGGGGACACCAAAATTGGGCTTCACACATTGTACCCATGTCGGGAATCGAACCCAGGTCTTCGGCGTGACGAGCGAGCGCTTTAACCACTAGGCTACCAGACCGCCCCTGCACACATTGAGCCGGACAGCGATAAGATACACTAAACGTATGGGACCCATCTAGACTAACATTCTCCTTGCCAGAGAATCTTGTCAAGATATCATCCAAAAGTTCTCGAACTGTCAAAGACATATGCTCATCCAGGGCCAGTTGGCACCCCTCCTTGTTTGTTTGTCTGTTGTTTAACGCCACACTCAACACTATCCAGAAAAATAATAGTGGTCTGTAAATAATCGAGTCTGGACCAGACAACCCAGTGATTGACATCATGAGCATAGATCCAATTTGGATCCCGTTAGTCGCCTCTTACAAGCATAGTCCACTCTTATGGCAAGAATGGGTTGCTGAAGTCCTATTCTAAACGGATCTTCATGGGTCTAGTGTCGACAACTCAAAAGTATTACCATAGCTGTAGGTGCATAGGTTACACATTACTATCTAAATGCAAATAATAAAGTTAACTATGATATCAACTGGATTGATCCTTCAACCCATGCTTGTTGTAAAAGGTGACTGCTTGTCGTAAAAGGCGACTAACCCGATTGGGTGGTCAGGCTGGCTGAATTGGTTGATGCATGTCATGGATCCCAAATGCTCAGATCGATGCTCATGACGTCAATCACTGGATTGTCTGGTTCAGACTTGATTATTTACAGACCGCCGTCATGTAGCTGGAATATTGCTGAGTGCGGCGTTAAACAACAAACAAACATTAAATATCTGCCTTCATATTGTCCATCGGTAACAAATGTAAACTTGGTATCTATATAATCATTTGTTTTTGGATCAGTATCAACATCAAAAATGGCGTTCATGTCGACCACAGGTTTGCCTTAATTTACAGGTCCTGTTATTACCCTTGTGTAAGCGAGTTGTTTCCCAACAGCTTACTGTCTGTGACTTCTCCTCTAGGTACAAAGGCTAAGTCTGTAAAAGTGGGTTTGGTCAAGTAGATTCAGCTAATGAAATTCCATATTAATAGACTCGGAACGTTTTGGCACAAACTGAACATGCATATACTCCAAGACAGGCAAACCAATTGTTAATAGCATCAACAATGAACAATACATTTGGGCACAATGACAATCCGCCACGTCACATAATGCATCCCTATTCTCATTAACTTGGAAAAAAATGTTTCAAATTAGAAATTCCAAAACCAAAACAAATTGAAGCGTTGTCACAATGTGCCTGATATCTATTCATCTGTACTGTTGACCTCACATGGCCAGACTATATGAAATAAATTCTGTTCTATTCTCATTTGTTGCTGCTCACATGAAGCAGAGTGAGGATGGTTTTATGCCCTCTTTAGCAATATTCCAGCAATATCACGATGGGGAGCCCCAGAAATGGGCTTCACACATTGTACCCATGTGGAGAATCTGAACCCAGGCCTTTGGCGTAACGAGCGGACACTTAAACCACTAGGCTACCCGAGGCGCCAAACATGAGGAAATGGGGATCTGTTCTGATCCAGACTCCAAGATCACTGTTTAATAAAGCACAAACAATTCATCTATACACAAATGTTTATTTACATAAATGAGTTTTTAAAAACGAAGATGACATTTTTGTTGATGAAAGAAATAAACAAAAAACATTCATCCACTTGCAACCAGACGTCATGTTAACTGACAAGATCTTCTTATGTTGATTGCAAACCACTGCTGTAGGCAAACACCAGAATCTGTAGCATCTGCTTTGTATCACTGCTTCATTCACTCAGTGTCCTTCCATCCTGTTATCAAGTTCATGAACACACACGGAATACAGTCATCATATTCTGTCAAGAGCCTCAAGCAGGACAATACTGTTTCCACGAACAACCTGCAATGGAAAAAGGAGACGTGTTTATTGATATTGAGTGAGTGAGTATGGTTTTATGCCGCTTTTAGCAATATTCCAGCAATATCACGCCGCAGGGGACACCAGAAATGGGCTTCACACATTGTACCTATGTCAGGAATCGAACCCGGGTCTTTGGCGTGACGAGCGAACGCTTTAACCACTAGGCTACCCGACCACCCCTTTATTGATAATGATCAACAATAGTGATAGGAATTGAAATTTAACCGATTGATGGGTGGCAAGGTTATTTTAGGTCTCAAAATGCATCAAATGAAATTGAGGGTCTTGTTTTGTTTTGAGTGTTGAACATTACCCACAGCACTATTCCAGCTAAATGACGCAGCAGGCAGATAATCAACCAGACAAACCAGTGATTGATATTATGATCAATGAACCACCACCAGGGTATGTAGATACGCCTTCAACCAGGTCACCAACGAGGTGAGCAGAGGTTGCTGGAGACCAATTCTAAACTGGAACCCCACAAGTTTATAATTTAGTTGCCAATTAGCAATGAGGAGATGGGAACACATTCTAGCCTAGGTCCCCACAGAGGTATTGATAAACATAAAAGAATAATAAAAAACAATGTAAGAGCAATCGCAATCGACACAACCTTCACTTTTTCAAGGGCATTTCTTTTAATATAGAGCGATGGGACTAAATACCATAACAGGAGCAAGGAATCAACATACCACCATTCCGATTGGTCGCTTCTCTCCAGTCTTGGTCTCCTCTGTACCCTCATCCACCACAAGATTCATAAAGGGATCAAACCCTCGAAGGATGCCAGTGATCTGTCGGCCTCCATTCAGCTTCACTGGAAGAAAACAATACAACCATTAACAGTCGCACAAAACCACACGCCAATATACTAAATGTCACGCAAAACAACGCTGCCAATATACTAAATGTCACGCAAAACAACGCTGCCAATATACTAAATGTCACACAAAACCACACCGCCAATACATGTCACACAAAACCACGCTGCCAATATACTAAATGTCACGCAAAACCACAACGCCAATATACTAAATGTCACACAAAAACACACTGCCATTATACTAAATGTCACACAAAACCACACTGCCAATATACTACATGTCACGCAAAACCACACCGCCAATATACTACATGTCACGCAAAACCACACCGCCAATATACTAAATGTCACACAAAACCACACTGCCAATATACTAAATGTCACACAAAACCACACTGACATTATACTACATGTCACACAAAATCACACTGCCAATAATAAATGTCACACAAAAACCAAACTGCCAATATACTACATGTCACACAAAACCACACCTCCAATATACAAAATGTCACACAAAACCACACTGCCAATATACTAAATGTCACAAAACCACACCGCCAATAGACATCACAAAACCACACCGTCAATATACCGTATATCGCTGTGTATAAGGCGAGTTTTTCGTACCTAAAATGAGGGGGTTAAGAAGGGGGGGTCGTCTTATACACGGAGTCGAAGATCTCACATTTTTTTCCACTGGCGATGTCAACCGGCGTCCGATAGCCAGCCCAGCATTTGACAATAAAACTTCGCATTTCGTCCTAAATAACTGTTCCAATAACTATTTCCATACATAAACATGATCTGTATCTCTTTTCCTTGAATAAAGTTTAATAATTTCTGCAAATAAAGTTGAAATGACCCTCGCCTCGATGCAGATTGTCAAACCACCTGACACGGTAAAACAATCAACATCCGTGAGTAGAGAGCCGGAAGTACCGGTAAGCATTTGCATATTGCACATGTGACTTAACATGTGATAACCGGTGAAGCTGAAATCAATTCCCTCTTTACAGTTGTATTAACAAGTGTTGGAGACGGTGTGTACAAGTGATTGTGGAATAAACACGCTGAATGTGAAGCAAACATAAGCCTAGTTAGTTACAACATAGTTAATTGGCGATTAAATTACTCACCATTGTCTCTTATATGTTATTACTTCAGAAATGAATTTTATTTTACGGGCACTAATTTGGTGTCGAACCGTGTAAACACAAAATGGCGACGTGTGCTGGAGTTACACACGCGACCTATCATTGTAGAAAAAAACAACGCAAGATAAACATATTTTTATTGCATATATAAGGTTTGTGTGCGCACTTGTGATGTGCTTCATTCCAGGTCGCCTTATACACAGAGTATAGGATTTTGGGTTGATTTTGAAGGCATGTACAGGGGGGTCGTCTTATACGTGGGGTCGCCTTATACACAGCGATATACGGCACTACTTGTCACAAAACCACATCGCCAATAGTATTGACTTATTATGGAAAATATCCTAACAGGTATTGAATGTGTTCAAAGGGCAATGTTACATTGTTGGTTTGTTGTTTAACACCGCACTCAGCAATAATCCAAGAAATATTCAACGGATTAGTTCTGCACCAAAACGGAAAACAGATGGATAGACATGCTGATGGCTTTGTGTTCTTGTTCAAAAGAACACAACTTCTTGATTTGACAATGGTATATTATACTTACATTGAAGCTTCTTCTCCATGTACCTGTAAAATACAAAAAAATAAGTTTAGCTTACACTTTTAGAGTTAAAGAAATGATTGATACTCAAGTAAAGGAGTCCAGTTTATCACTGCCTTTAACTGGATTTGAGAGTAAATAAATTGTGTAAGGCGAGATGAAATGGGGTTTAAAGTCGCATGCATGCTGTGCATCAGCGTTAGAAATTGGCACTAGTCCTGTTGTCCTTGCTAAACTGCCTAATAGTAAAGGAATCAAAAGGACAAGTAGAAATTTGCCATTTTTAAGGGTTTTGCTATATCTTATTGTAAATATTAGTGGACTAAAAATGTTACTCTCTACCAATGGAATAGGTTTAAGGTATCAAAAAGTGTTGATTTTCATGATGTCTCTACCGCTGTGCATCTGCTTGTACTAGTCTGGCACGTTAGTAGCCCAGATGCAGATGCTCTATCCACTAGACACTGGAGGCAGTCTTCAAGGTGTTAGATTAATGTGGGACGAAAGAATAAGTGATGCAACTCTTAGATTTTACCACTTACGTGAACCCACAAGCACAGTTAGGTGCAACATTCAAGGATTATGTTTTGTGGACATGTCTCAAAAACAGGGTTCTTGTAAAAAGTGCTATTTTCATTATCTTGATTTCTATCCATAAGTCATGGTAGAGCTGACTTTCCTCCAATGTAACCAATTCATTTAGTTCACACAAAGTATACTTTTCAGATACTGACATTTCCTGTCTGTGGCCAGTCATAAAGCAAACAATAACAAGTCTATTTTTCTCAGCCAAATAACAACATGACAAACCATGACTAATATAAAAACAGCTACATGTTCCACAAGATCATTGATGGATACCGTATTCGACGTAATAATCGCCCTGCTCTAGTAAGCTCCCACGGCGTTATTTGTAAATAAATTTGCTAGTGAACAATCCCAATAAGCACCCCTTCCGATTGATAAATATACACAAGACTATTTATTCGTGCATAATACGTTTGTTATATGCACCCTTAATTATGGGCAATAAAATTCTGGAAAAATAAATCTGTCGTATAAAAACGTTTCATGCTGACACCATAAACCACAAAATTTTAGATCTTTCAACTGTTGTTTTTCACCAAAATAGTATTTAATGAGAGACACCTATTTCTAATTTGGAGAGCGCCCTGGGCGCTTATTATGTCGAATACGGTATTCTTAACCATGTCAACATGTGGAGACTATTTCAACGTGCTACCATTTTTTGTGTCTAAAGGTTTTGCAACCAATCTGTCATAGCTTATTGATACTACATACTGAGTCGAAGTAAGGCATAATACTTTGATAACTAGTACAAGAAGAGCCCAGTAATTGTACGCGTGGAATCGTACACCCTAATCGTAAATATTCAACTTTTCAAAAAGGCGAGGCTTCATGATTGAACTTGAGCCTAAATTACTGTATAAGCTTGTGAATATGCATACAAGTGCATACAGGACATAACATTGACAGTCTATTTCTTTATTCGGCATCCACAATTCTTAACAATACAATATTCGTTCCTATTGTGAAAAATCGTATCCTGAGAACTCATCCTTTTTTCAGCAGGTGCCCGTTTCTGGATGTAAACAAACCGATTCAATACCGTCTATTTTCAAACAAAGGCAAATGACAGTGAAAATTAGCTACACAGTCCAGACACCACTTTATGTCCATATACTTACTTTTTCAACTCGGGTGGATGTGCCTTACTCATGATGATAACAGCGGATTTTCGAATCAAGCCTACACTCACACCGGTATCACAAAGGCGGTAACGTTCCTACGACGCGACGAAACCGGAAGTTGAGAGACAAATTGAAAAATCCAAAATAACATCTTTTTGAAAATTAACACCATTGAATTTTGGGAATTTACATACGAAAATACCCACATAAGTAAGATGACAATAGTAAGCTAATTAAAATATGTTTTCCTCCTTGATACGTCATCAATTTGTGTGCTCAAATTCTGCGCCATATTTATAACCACAGGGGAAGCCCATGCATTGGTAAATCCAAATATTCCTTTCTGATTGGTCACTGATAGACTCTATTAGCCAGTAAAGAGTAACAAGTCTCATTGGATGCTTGTTGAAGGTATTTAACCCCAGTTGTCTCTCTAAGATGTCGAAGGTGAAGTGTGAGGACGGTTTTCTCAACCATTCGAGCCTTCGCCATGTCAGACAAAACGGCATCCATTCAGTCATGTCGGCACCCAAATCTAGGTCTCTCTTGTTTTGCACTTTCGTCACTGTACCGTTACGCACATGAGAATGGAGTTAACCGCTACACTCTCTAAAACTAACTTCCAATTTAAGAGAATTTTGCAAACCAAAAACTCACGCCTTTTCATCCAGTCAGCATTGCGATAGATGAAATTAGCTTAGTGACGTACTAGTGTACTGTCTAGGTTTCTCAGACGAGGCCTAACATGATGTTCTGCTCTTCTGTTGAAGCAGCTGAATACTAAGTATTGGGCCTGTTAGGCCAAAATGCTATCATTCATGTTAGAAGTTGATCAAGAGGACAAGTTTGATAGTGTATTGTTGCAGAGAAGATCAAATGGCAAATGAGTTCTCTGTTGGTCTTTAATATGTTGTATGATGAGTATATAGATCCAGTGGACTGTCAGTTTTCTTTAAGTTTAAATGTAATCCCAATGAGTACTGGTCATTGACCACTAACTGACATATTTTTCATGTTTATTTCTTAAATATTGCGTGCACACTGTTAACCGTGCCAATAACTTTGATTTTTGTGAAACTATGAGCAAATGCACACATTTCTGTCTGTGGAAAAAGTTTCATCAGATTTTTGTTATAATGCGACAATTTTGTGTGACGTTTAAGCCTATCTAATGCTCACCAACAGATTAACTAGTCTGCATGCGATCAGGATCGGCTGTGATGTCATATTATATAACCATCTTCATCCGTACAGACATGTATGTGTTTATGCTTGCATGCATTACAGCATTCATAATTAAGCATTAAATTCAAGAGGTTCTTGTCGTAAATCTAATAGTACACATAAATTTAGGGGGTCCATAGCTTCAAATGCTATGTCAGGTAAGCTCAAGGATTACCTTAACGTCAAGCACTGTTTGTTTGTTGAGCAGTGAGAAATGGCAGAGGCTGAGCAGTACACAGTCTATGAGGCAGACAGCCAGCAGCCCCTCACAGTCACGGTCAACCCTGAAGACGGCCAGGCTGTCCAACATGTGCAGGGCATCCAGTACATCACACAGGATGGGGTGCAGGTAGCCCAGCTCCATGGCCAGCCTGGGGTCATACAGGTACGTCTAGACCATCTGGATCATATCGGATCATGAGCAAGGTATCATAATACATATCGGGTCATGAGCAAGGTATCGGAATATATATCGGATCATGAGCAAGGTATCGTAGTACATATTGGATCATGAGCAAGGTATCGTAATACATATCGGATCATGACCAAGGTATCGTATTACATATCGGGTCATGAGCAAGGTATCGTATTACATATCGGGTCATGAGCAAGGTATCGTAATGCATATCGGGTCATGAGCAAGGTATCGTAATACATATCGGATCGGGGGCACGGGTTGCCCAGTCGTCTAAGGCGCCGCGATTCGCTGTGCAGAGTTGCGTCCCTTGGGCACGCCAGAAACCTATGATTGTGGGTACGAATCTCGGTTCTCCCCGATTATGTTTCTAGGTTTGTCAGCACCATACCCATGCTCGTGGGTTTCACCGAAGTGGTAAACGTCTGAGACCTGCATCACTTCGGTCTTTCCTCCAACATTAAGCTGACACGCCGTGATATGACTAATAATGTTAAAAGCGGCGTTAAACCCAACTCACTCACTCACTCACATATCGGATCATGAGCAAGGTATCGTAGTACATATCGGATCATGAGCAGGGTATCGTAATACATATCGGATCATGAGCAAGGTATCGTAATATATATCGGATCATGAGCAAGGTATCGTATTACATATCGGGTCATGAGCAAGGTATCGTAATACATATCGGATCATGAGCAAGGTATCGTAATACATATCAGATCTCACTGTTGGTGTATTTATCGTCCCAGCCCTAGTTTGAGTCGATTATTTACAGACCACCGTCATATAACTTGAATATTTGCTGAGTGCGGTGTTAAACAACAACAAACAATCAAACAACAGGTTTGCCTGTCCCATACAGTTGTATTTGTAGACCATCTTCCCCTGGCTGGATACCCGTGAAGATCTAGATTAGAATTGGTCTTCAGCAACCCATGCTTGCCGTGAAAGGCTACTATGTTTGTCGTAAGAGGCAACTAAATGGATTGGGTGGTCAGGCTTGCTGACCTGGTTGAAACATGTCATCGTGTCCCAATTGCGTGGATCAATGCTCATGATGTCAATCACTCGATTGTCTTGTCCAGACCCGACATATTTACAGACCGCCCTCATTTTGCTGGAATATTGCAGAGTGCGGCATTACAACGTCAAACAACCAAACAAATCATATGGCTGTAATAATGCTGACTTCAGCCAAAAAACCAATTCACTCACTTGCTGTTCTTCAGGTATCAGATGCTCAAACTATCTACACAACGCAAGGCGGTTCTTCGTTCACCTCTCTCGCATCAACACCATCCACCCAGGTTGTGGCCAATGCTGCCAATGTGATCGCCTCTTCTGGTCAAACGATCGTCCAGCCAACATCAGTTGTCCAGCAAGGAGCCAATGTTATAGGCACGCAGTCGGTGATACAAGGAAATGGTACCACTACCATCAACCCAGGGGGAATCCCCCAGATGTTGTTCCTCAACCAAGTTACAATCAATGGACAGACATCCTTTGTGTTAGTGGATGCCAACAACAAACCAGTACAGCTACCACAAGGTAACCATGGTGACATGCTTCCACTTGCTTACACCTATGGGAAGTTGTGTTTAAGTTTTTGCATGTTAAAGCTGTAAGCCTTTCAACACAGTACTGATACTGGGTCAATTCTTGATATTAATCAGTCAAAATATAAGCGGCCCCCTCTCAGTAAGGCATATGACTAAGCTGTACTGATTTAGACAAAATTAGGGATTGAAATTGAATAGTAATATATGATATGGCTCTATATGATCCCAGGGGGCGGTCGGGTAGCCTAGTGGTTAAAGCGTTCCCTCGTCACGCTGAAGACCCAGGTTCGAATCCCAACATGGGTACAATGTGTGAAGCCCATTTCTGGTGTCCCCCGTCGTGATATTGCTGGAATATTTCTAAAAGCGGCGAAAAAACAAACTCACTCACTCACTATATGATCCCAGGCTCTTTATTATCGCAGTATCAGTCCATCTTGTAATCCACACACCCTGTCGACTGTTTACGTATGCAGATCTAAGCACAATATTTCATAGCTTGATAAAATACGGGACTCGTTGCGGTATGTCATGGCTATTCATGAGTATACACGTTAACTTTCTGGAATGTTTTTGAAGTGGAATTACCCCTGCCTCCTTCGTAATGGACTAATAAAGAACCCATTTGTTTGGACGAAGTCCCTTGACCCAACCTAAATTCATCTTCCCGAGGCAAGAGAGTTAACTGACTATAAAAGTCCAGTTTCCACCCTTGCCGAACTAGGTTGGTATTATGGAGTTACATTTTGTCTGGACTAACGAGTCTATGCATAGTCCAATCAAAATCGGGCACCGAAATCGAAATCCAGTTCGTAAACTGTCGTGCAGATTTCGGTTGATTGCAGGATTTGCAAAACATGTGCACAGCCAACTCGTTGTCTACAGATATTTTCCAAATCTTTTCATGTTTTTAATCAAGGTGCTCACATGATTTGATGCATTTCGCGATGTAAGACCCGTTTTATCACAATATTGATCTTGATTATCGATCAGATCGTCCTGACTGGGCGCCACCATTTTGTGTGAAGCAAACGCAAGTGATACGAGAGGTGGAATCTGATTGGTCCATAGGAGGGGCTTAAAAGGGACATAACTGGTAATAGCCACTTGGTGGGCTACGATCGAGCCCAGTAACTCCAGCCTAGTTCGTTCGGCAAGGGTGGAAACTGGACTTTTAAAGTCAGTTAACTCTCTTGCCTCGGGAAGATGACCTAAATTGTGCATACAGATTATGCATAATCCAAAGCAGGAAGTGATGTAAAGCACATATTCCACACATATCATATTGGAGTGAAACAAAGCAACAGTGCACCAGTGCATCGTGAGTTTTCATGCGACAATATGATAAATTTTTTTACTGTATCGATACAAGACAATATACTTGTTAAAATAAATTGTTTACTACTCATGACCCCCAAGCATTTTTTTCTATCAAATACTGCAAAATGTGTTGTAATAAGTGTTTCCAGTTAACTACTAATAATGCTTCTACAGCTAGCCTTTCCCTTTGCACCTGCTCTGAAATATTTATAGTCAACAAGTTTCCACGAGATTTGACGAAAATATGCGATAAGTATCATATCACGACCTCCCTGTATCGTTTCACCCCCGGTTTCATACCACAAAATAGCCACAATATAGAATTGCCCACCCTTCAGTTGCTGATGACAGGTACTTTGTTTACCAAACTTGGTAATGACAATTATCATCGATCAATCCTAAATGATGTGTCATAAGAGTTGAACAAAGAACAAGAAACAGTTTGCGTATGACATATTTTATAGGTTAGTAAGCGTGCGCCATTACGATCCATTATAAATTAACTACTGCAATAATATTGCAAATTGGGTAGAATTGCTCACAATCATTAATAATTAATTGTCGAAGAGAAAAACATGTTTCAGAACAAGTAACTTTTTAAGTATCACTGTTCCTGTTGTAAGTAGTTGGGTTTTGGTTTTGTCAAATACTACGCTTCGAGACTTAACTGGTTTTGTTTTGTTCAAGGTATTCAAGTAATCAATCTCCCATCACAACAAACAGGGGGTCAGCAGCTACCTATGGTATGTATACAACATTTTCACTGTGAGTTTGTGTGATGGGTGGCTGTGTCAGTCACTCTTTCACTCCATCAATCAATTAACAACTTTTCACTATGACATAGATAACTGCTGAGTATATGAAATATGAAATCAACATACTAGCCTGTGACAACAAGCTGTGAAACCATTAGCGGGGCAGGGGTGTCCCTGTCGTCTGAGGCGCTGCAATTCCCTTACAGATTCATGTCATTTGGCCCACCAGAAACTTACGGTTATGGGTACGAATCCCTGAAGTTCTTGATCACATTTATAAGTTTGTCAGCACCAGACCTGTGCTTGTGGGTTTCACCAAAGTGGTAAACATCTAAGACCTTACTGACCCTCTTTTCTGTAAGACCAGAAACATGATACTTTTCATTTTGTTTGGCCTTAGACTTGTAGGAACTTTTATAGACATAAAATACCTTCTGGTTTAACCTTGCAGCCTGGTTCCGAGTCAGGGGATGAGCCACTGTATGTGAACGCCAAACAGTACCATCGGATACTGAAACGAAGACAGGCCCGAGCCAAGCTGGAATCTCTAGGGAAGATCCCTAAGGAGAGACAGGTGGGTTACTCAATGAGTCAATGTTTAACACATATCAAATCACAAGCTCATGGGCGGATCCAGCAAATATCAAAATCCTCTCTGTGGGGAGGGGGAGGGGGAGGATTCTCTACAACATACTACATTTAGTTTAAAAGGGACTTGTCCAAAATATCAAAATCCTCTCTCAGAGGGGAGGTTGTCTACAACATACTTCATTTGGTTTTCAAAAGAAGGGGTGGGGTGGGGGTCCAGACCCCCCCTCTGGTTCCACCTATGAACTAACAAGTGGAACAGACAGCCTTCTCTTTGTCTGAACAGTGGAGTTGCTGTCTTGCCCAGTTAACCTGGTATACTATGAGCCTCTGACGTAATGTCAGAAAGGTGAGAAATGCCATTTCAACTTCATTGATAAATATGACTGAGGGCATGCTAGTGGGATATAAATCTTATTAAAATCAGATCTTAGTGCAAGCTACAGCTACATTTAAGATTTGAGGACATCATATTACTAGTCATGTCAGACTGACCCTTCACGATCTTTTACCAGTCAATATAATAACTATCAGGAAGTTGACATTATCCAATCAAAAAGCAGCTTTCTCAGTCTTTATGGCATTAGCTTCAAAATGGCGACTTTGATTCCAGATTACGCTTTGAAAAAATATTTTGACAAATATCAAATTTTGAAAACTGAACAAAAGAAAATTTTGGAATATCTAATGGATGGCAGTCTTTTCCGTTTCAAATGTTTACCCATTGAAGCAAGAGAAAGATGATGACTTTGGCAGAATTACTCATTCCGCCCATAAATGTCGCTACAAATACACTGTGGTAACTTTTTCAAGGTTGCTTGATTAGATCACAAATTCTGACTAACTTTCCTGATCTGGTAAGTGACGCTCTAGTTGTGTAGCGGGGCGGTCGGGTAGCCTAGTGGTTAAAGCGTTCGCTCGTCACGCCGAAGCCCCGGGTTCGATTCCCGACATGGGTACAATGTGTGAAGCCCATTTGTGGTGTCCCCCGCCGTGATATTGCTGGAATATTGCTAAAAGCGGCGTAAAACCATACTCACTCACTCACTCACTCACTCACTCACTCACTCACTCACTCACTCACTCACTCACTCACTCACTCACTCACTCACTCACTCACTCACTCACTAGTTGTGTAGCTGTAAGATTTGATTTATTGAGATTGGTAGAATATGTATCCAAATATGATGTCTTATCACTATTCAGGCAAGTAAACCAACTTTTTATGTCACTCTTTTCTCTTGTCAATAGAAATACCTATACGAATCACGACATCGGCACGCCATGAACAGACAGAGAGGGTCAGGCGGTGTGTTTGTTGGTGGAGAAGAGGACGGCCCCCAACCCAACATCAAGCCTCTTGATGGGAAAAACAATCACCAGGTGTTTCAGGAAACGCAGGTGCTGCACTCCGATGGGGGCCCAGTTATTCACCACACAGGACAAGCTGCAGAGATGCTCACCACTCTCGGGACATAGGAGCTGGACAGACATTGTGGTGTGACTTCCTGCAGATGCCGGCGACATGTTTATAGAATTGTACATACATTTTCTACTGTGCTATTAACCAAATTAATGAACGGAAGTCTTGGGCTGTAATGATTCACTGGTATCATCGTGATGCTTATGGACAGGATATGTGTGTCTTATTGTGAGGATGTGTATGCCTAGAAAACAATGCTTGTACTAGAAAGAGACATTCTCGGGTATGTAACTGATTGAATTCAGACAGGCAATAAGCATAAGGACATGTTCCTGAGTGTGTTAAGTTTTCAAAACACTTTATCATTACCATATTTGAAAATAGTCTCAGAAATATATATAGTCAAGTCCACTCTGAATATGATAATGTTGAATATTGTGACAAAGATGTAATGAACCAAATAATGATCACCTAGGACTGGACTTTTAAAGTCGGTTAACTCCCTTTCCTCGGGAAGATGATCTAATACCTTTGATACATATATCCTTTGTTAAATAGAAACAAGCTTACCAAATTTAAGTCAAGTCTCTAGTTAGTCACTTTGATCAAAGACGTATAGACGTCTTTGCTTTGATGATGGAATTGACTTCATCAGTCTAATGTTACAAGTTTCACAACCTCACTATATGATCTGTATCACAGTGCTCCGGGTCTTTGTTATTATTATTTTTTGGTTATTGAGCCATGGAGTATTTACTTCCATTTGATCATTGTCATTTCAAATTTCCTTGTGCTCTTTCATCAATTTTTAATCATGTGTCCAGTCACTGGTATTTTTGAGCCAATGAGTTAGACATCTTAGGGCTTGATTTAGCTATATATAAAACATGCACCATTGCGACCTATCCTTGAAAAATGCAACCTTATACTCATGTCAACAAGCACCAAATTTGAGTCTGACTAATCCTTACTTGTCCATACACAAACTTGAGCTTTGAACACACTCAGTACCTCTAAGTGTTGTGTACCATAGTACATCACTAACCCCTGTGTTAGGTGAAATTTGTCATGCCCTCTTGGGCTTGAGGACATCAGACTGGGTACTTCAACATTTTGTGCACATGTTGCTATTACGTTTTACAGTAATGCATCATTAATTTATTTGACACAGGCAGCAGGCCACTCTGTCTCAACTTTGATAAATTTTGAGGACCAGGGTGCAACATGGTTTTGTTTGGTGCAACTTGGTTTTTTATGTCAATTTGCAGCTGGTGAAAGTTAAATCCAATTCTGAAATCTAGCTCTGATTCTGAAGCGGTGTAGGGGCGGTCTGGTAGCCTAGTGGTTAAAGCGTTCACTTGTCACGCCAAAGACCCGGGTTCGATTCCCGACAAGGGTACAATGTGTGAAGCCCATTTCTGGTGTCCCCCGCCGTGATATTGCTGGAATAATGTTAAAAGCGGCGTAAAACCATACTCACTCACTCACTCTGAAGTGGTGTTTGTCGTAAAGGTCTCGTCTGGTATTGGTATCCATTGGTAAGTGAATATTGTGTTTTTTATGTGCTGCCTGTGGCATGGAGTTTCACCACCACCAGTGTTTGGCTTCCTTGAAAAGGAAATCATGTGACACACACTTTAAGATCACAACAGTGATACCTGTCTGTTTATGAAAAGTGAGAGCAACTCTGTAAATTATTCACTGCAGTAGACATGATGCCTGCATTCAGTCATTGAAGAAAGATGAGTGAAGAAGTACTGGTTTACATGCTAAAGAGGTCACATTGTGCAATTATGCTCAGTGTTGTACTATTGGGGTTTGACTTTTCAAGTTTCCATGCATATATGTATGCAAACAACTAATTAATTGGGTTACAGTGTATTTTTCGCAGCCACACAGCACTGGAGCACTGGTGTCATTTAGCCATGTGTATTGTGTCAGCCCTCGACTCCTGTATTGTACATTTATCACACCATGGTGCAGACATTTTCATTTGTATTATATCATGTCGAGGGTCCTTCCCTTGGTCATCTATTGTTATATTGCATGCTCCTGTGTTGTATTATTTCTCAAGATGCTCAAAGTAGAGAGTAGTTTATTTGTGAGAAAATACCATTATCATGAGATCATCCACAGTTATATGCACTCCTACAGCCATGGAAACATTGCACAGTCCACTGGGCTGAGCCGGGTTTCATAATGGTTAAGTGTTTGAAGTTAAACATGAAAGAAAATGGGTCTTTGATATAACCGTGAAGTTAAGAGTCAAAGGTAAAGGGGGTCCTGGATTAGAATATTACACCAGCAAACGTCAAGGACCCCAAGAATCCCCTTAATTTTTAGATATCTGGGGAATATCAATAAGAATCATGACAATTTTGTTACTAACAGTTGGAGAGCTTCACTAAAACATGATCATAGATTGTAGTTGAAATTACTCACCAAATCATCAGTTTTTTCCTATTTTGATATGTGGCCCAAGGTTTTATCAGGGTCTAGATTTAAAAGTCTTTTACACAAAAACAAAACCAGATATGTGAACCTTTACAGTTTGAAACTTTAGATGCTGGTGTGAAGGCTGAGTCTAGTGACATTCTCTTTGGTCCAGTAAGCTCAGCTATTAATAGCCTAAAAGATAACACTCAGGAAATGATGCTTTCAACCATTTTGGGGTTCTAGACTCGAACGTTTTTAGCACAGACTGCCAATACCACTATCGCCATGGTAATACGGAGAAATGGATTTGAGATGTCAGATAAAAGATTATGCTTTTGAAAGAGTTGCCACCATAATTGGTTGTTTAACAAATCAAACGACACTATCTATAACAAATATGAAGGCAAGAAAAGAATCATTTTTTCATTATCAGAAATAGAATCTCAGTGTTGCCTCACAAATCCTCAAGGGGCCTTTGGATTCCATTCATTCATTTCAGGTCCTGTTTAAGCATTGTTAGGAACTTGATGTTGACTCATATCCTGTTTTGTGATACAGTACCATGGTGACGGGGCAATGTGACCCCATCAATCCATGCTTGTCAAGGGGGAGTTGGCCAGAGGAAATCAAGGGAGAATCATAATAAAAAGATCACTGTTTTGGGGAGGGTCACGAAAAAAATATAGTAATCTTTCCGTTCGATGGGGTTTATTAAAACTTTGGATTACTGTTATCTCAGATGTTTTTCCCAGAACATTTTGTATTAGAAAAATACACTTCAACCTGGCATCTGAACTTAACAGACCTTTGAAAATTGTACCAATTCTATCAAGAAATGTGAGCAAGCTTCTAAGGATTTACTGCTTTGTCAGGGAAAGGAGGCATGGGAAAAAAACCTAAACAATATTGGGAGGGTCATACATTATTTGTATATCAGTGATAAGTTACTGGTCTGCTATGAAGCACTGGTGTTACAGGTTCCTGGGATATGGCCAGAATATTGGTGACTGCGCTTTAGTTGTCTAAAGACACAGTCACCACAGAAAACCTTGTCGCCGCACAAACTGAGTTTTCTAATCATTGACACCTGCATGATCTAGCTGATAGTCTGTCACACAGACCCCGAAACAAATATATCCAATACAGCCCATGCAAGTTGATAATAATAAGGAGGCTGTACAAAGAGACCTGATAATAGTTTGCAAGTCTAGATTACTGCAGTCTCTGCAAATGAAGACTCTAGGGCTCCTTTTTATTATATTTAAATTCGACAATTAACACCTGTTTTTTGTGTAAAATATGTTCATTTCAGAGACTAGAAACCTACCCTCTACACCCTTTCCCTTTTAGCATTTTCTTTACTTGTAAATGTTATTTCCCTCTGTGAGAAGTAATCCCGGTTTTTGGTGTGAATCCAAGTGTACTTATTAGAAATATGGCAACTGAACGGTCTAGTCAATGCTTGTAGAAGCTGGTTGAGATGGGTATGATTTACTGGTAGTACCCTGTGTTAAAGATTAACTTTAATACCCAATACTCAAGTACCCAAGGGTCATAGGTCATACATCAGGATAAGTATAAAACTTATGTATGTTAGGATTTAGAATCATTCAAAATCTTGCCAGATTAAATAAATATGGTGCCATTTATAACTGGAACACAGCTTGGGAGTTTCTTCCTTTAACCAGTTGAGACCAGTTGATTGTGCGCTATCAGACCTCAACAATGTGTGATCGGTTGATTGTGCACTATCAGACCTCAACAATGTGAGACCAGTTTATTGTGCACTATCAGACCTCAACAATGTAAGACCAATTGATTGTGCACTATCAGGCCTCAACAATGTGAGACCAGTTTATTGTGCACTATCAGGCCTCAACAGCATGGTTCTCTGTTCATGCTATCAACCATTAGCAGTGTTTGAAATTAAGCATGAAAGTCAAGGGGTCATTGTTGTAACCCTCATGTTTAAAGTTTAGGGGTCCCTAGATACAAATGATATAGAAGACTTCAAGGACCCCATTAATTTCGAACACTGAATTGGTTTGGTTTGTATTTATTTACAGACTTCAATGAAATTTGAGTATTCCTGAATGTCCTACAGTTTACAAATATGTTTTGGAGCTTAGGATAGTCCATGTAGGGTTTTGATTGTACAATCATGATACACAATGAAGTAAACCAGATGAAAGACACAGACCCCATTCTGGTTGTTGCATGAGTAGCAAAGATAATTTGAACAGAGATGGCTGGAACGAGAAGCTGAATACGATCTTGAAATTTGTGTCAGGTTTGCACAATTCCCCGAAATAACCTGGCTGCCTTCATGATCTGCAGTATTCCAGATCTGTGGATACTGTTATCCCTGGTTGAAAGTATAGCATAGCAGCTGGATGAAGCTATGGACGTTACCATGTAGCATCGTCATGTTAACAAGTCATGTACAAATTGTACAGTACCAACAGAAAATAAAATATTTGATATGATGAGTGCATTTGTTGTCAATCCGAACTGGCCTTCTTGTTTGAGGAGGTTTTTCTTCATTTCCAACACAATAGGAAAACAAGTTATCTTTTTTTTTAAATTTTTATATGACTAACAATTGAGGCCACTGCTTTAGTCATACCATTGAGGCCACTGCAAGATTTAAGAACAATACCTGTGCTGTACTCCCTGTTGGATTCTAGGGTAGAATTGGTTCCCAGAAAGCTCTGTTTCTCATGTGAGCTCACCAAAAAGGATAGAGTGGTCAGGCTCTGTGACTTGAGGGAATGTGTGATCGTGTTGATACATGTAGTATGAATCATTGATCATGCTTTCAGTCACTGGATTGCCTGGTCCATTGTGTTAAAGATGGAACAGTGTTGACTGTGGGCTTTTAACTTCATTTACACTTGCATTAAAATCCTGTAAAGTTATATCATTGGGTGTGTCTTGACCGAATCACAGTTAGATTCCAAGAAAATGTGTGTACAGCTGATTGCTGTTTCCGGCTCAGGTGACGAGAAAATACACACGGTAATCTTAATCCCTAGCCTAGCAGAACATTTAAACGGTAAATCAACATGTCTGGTGATTTTTTTATCTCTAATTTCAAATTTGTTCTGACCAAGTTTCTCATCACCCGTTCGTTTACCGGAATTCGCTGAAGGGGTACGGTGTAATTTTTTTCTGCGCTTATTATTCGATTCTTTCTTTCCTAAATACTGAATCCGCTAGATGGGGGTGCGCATTATACTCGGGTGCGCACTATACTCAAGAAAATACGGTACTCTGCTGACAATCAATAAGGTACTGCTTTGCAGAGTTGTGTTTCTTATTCCTGCCAGGATGTGCAGGTCTGGGTTTGAGTCCCAGATTTGACCTGATGATTCTTGGTTTGTCCACACCTAACTTGCCCTGTGGGTTCCACTAAAATGGTAAATTTCTCAGTTGAATAGCTACCGACTTTCCTACACTAGGCTGGCATGTGGTAATGTAACTAAGATGTTATTCAAAGCATTGCTACACAGAACTCACTCTGTTGTCACTATTCAAGGACAGCACAGATTCGTATATCTGGGAGGCAGGAGGGTAGCCAAGTGGTTACAGCTTTAGCTCAACACACCAAAGGCCAAGGTTCGATTCCCAACATGGATGTAACATTTCTGCTGTCCCCTGCTGTTAAATTGCAGGGCCTGTTCCTCAAAGCAATGTTAGCGCTAAAGTAATCATAGCTGTTACATAGGCTTAAGATCGCTTAGGGGAACAAAGCCCTGGAATATTGCTAAAGGCAGCATTAAACCATACACACACTCATGGCAGATGAAACTAACAAGAAATTTACAAGAAAATAAGATCTTTATTAAAATATATGTACAAAATAAATATTAATTCTGCAAGAAAACTTCTCCACAAAACCCCTTCATTAGTATGCGAGAGTTAATATGGGACATGTGACATAGGACATCACAGCACTCAGGCAAACATCTTCACCACCTACCCAAGTACTAGTCCACAGGACCCGTGAAGATCCAGGGTAGAATATGACTTCAGCAACCCAAACTTGATAGGAAAGGCGACTGTTCTTCGTAAGAGACGATTAACAGGATCGTGTGTTCAGGCTCGCTGACTTGGTTGATGCATGTCATTGATCCCAACTGCATGGCTCGATGTTTATGATGTCAATCACTGGATTGTCTGGTCCAGACTCAATTATTTACAGACCGCCGTCATATAGCTGGAATATTGCTGAGTGCGGCTTTAACAGAAAACAAACAAACAAACAAACAAAACTAGTCTGCTGACATCCTAAACTATCATCTGACAATGCTCTGGTAAACTTGATTACAAACATGATTACACAAATGTCTAAATGATATGATGAGTCAATGGATGCTACAAAGTTTTTTGATAGTATATGCATCAATAGATTCAATCTGTTATGGCAAGGAGAACTCAGAGATTGGTACAATTCTTTACAGTATGGAGGACCAGTCAGAGGGTGTCTCCAGACTGAGTATGCAGTGACATACCAATTGATGAGACTGATCTTGTATACAAGGTGGAAGGGTTGTGTTAGGCATGTGTTATTTTTGGGGTTACATATTCAACAGAATGGCATTAAGAACACATGAAATAACATTTAGAATAAAACAAATGTAACTTTGTAACTTATTAAATAATTGATCAAATGAACTGTTGTTTGTTATTGGAGAACAAAGCCACACACATGTAAACGTTACTGTCCAAACAGTTCCCTTTTGATCGCTTGGGATTTTTTAAACAAATATTTTTCACGTTTCCATGGCAATGACTTTGACTTAGACTGAAAATGGCAATAGTGCTCATTTCCGTAGCAGATCTTGAAAACCGTACAATATTTCTTGCCTGCACACAACCGGATGTAATGTGGGCAGGGGAAATAAGTATTTCATGCTTGTTTATACAATGATTAAAGCATTAGCTCATCATGCTGAAGACCCCGGTTCGATTCCCGACATGGGCACAATCTGTGAAGCCCATTTCTGGTCTCTCCCGCCATGATATTGCTGGAATATTGCTAAAAACGGCCATACTCACTCACTCACTCACTTACAATGATTTCTACTGATTCCAGACTTGAATAAATAGTCAAAAGAATATGTATGTTTCACTATGGCTGAGTGGTGGAAGAATCACTTAATAGTTAAATGAACTTTTGTCTGCTGTGTATTTGTAAACATCACATTTTTTAATTGAAAAAGTAAATATTTGTTACCTCACATGTGAAGGGTTTAAGTTAGTTACAACATGCTTTCCTCAGAGTATCGACCAATACACCTTGGAAAGTACAGCTGTGATACCTACTTACTCCACTGTATTCTGCTACTCAACATTCATCAGTTCAATATTCATGTGGGGACTAAATGATACTTTATTACATACTTCGGTGTGAAAGACTGAGTTTTCTGAAGTTGAGAAAATTGATATTTTCATTGCAGTGAACATAACAATTGATATTTCACTGCAGTGAACATAACACTTTGACGGAACTTTTGTCATGCAAGAGTGGCCTCCCCTCAAATTGTCTCCCTTTATCGTAACTGTCTGACCTATTCACAAACTGTTGAATTACTTTTTATGTTAGTTCCACACTGACAAGGCAAGATAAGGATAGATGGTCATTTATTGAGTTAATATTGCCTCATAGCGTTTGATATTCTCTTGAAAATATTCCATTATAAACTGTAAATTTTGGTTTCGCACAGCGCCATTTTTTATACTTGACCATCATGTATTCTTTCGCATACAAAAGTGGTCTCGAATATTTTTTGTATAAGTTGATTTTGTATAAAATCATATCTGTATGTATGATACCGAGTTTTCACGACCCTAAATAGTTTCTGTTACTTTTGTTTATATTTTTTATGACTTTGCAAACACTAAACTACTTCTCTGGTCGCTAATACAAGGGGTGGTGACCCATCCCTGTGTGTTAGGTAGGGAGAATTTAGATTTCAAGGTTTTACATTTGTCATGAAATAATTAATTTTCCAGTAGACAACTCTCGTGAAATATCATGTTTCTCTCATCCCGTGACTGTGGAAAAGGAGATATTTTCACTCGTGGACACTTGTGAAAATATCTCGTTCACTTGACACATGAAATAGGCTATATGACTGTTTGTCATGCACATTTTCATTTAGGTTCTCAGTTCGATAAATTATTGTCTCTGGGAATCGTTACAAAATCTTATCTAAAGTTGAGTAGTATGTTTTCCTGTTAATCCTGAATACCCACATTCAACACGTACGAGTGGGAAGGAAAAGTTAGTCTACAAGGCTCATGTAGGAGGAAAATTTTTGGCTCAAGAGAAAAATGGCAAATTTCAAAGTTAATGCAAATTATAAGATAGATCTTGTTGATGTTGGAATATTTTTTCTTTCTATTTCTTGCAGGTTCTAGATTTACTAATAGTTTTTCAGCTTTTGAAAAGACCTCTGAATCATCAGCCATATTACTGCTGAAACTTATTTGGCACAGAATATTTACTGTATGCTTGTGACTATGAAAATCAGCTATTACAAATCACAAATTGACCATTCCAATACACGTGATATTTGATATCAACACATGGTTACTATATTAGTATATGGACAATGTCACACAAACAACACTCCTTAAAGCTTGTAAAAATATAAAATATACACCGAAACATAACACAAAAATGATATGATCTCATTTAAGATAGTTAATAACACAAGTACTAAACGTGCGCAATTTATGAGAACATGTATATATGACCTACCATAATTACCGTATTTGACGTAATAAGCGCCCAGGGCGCTCTAAAAATTAGAAGTAGGGGTTTCTTATTAAACTTTAATTTTAGTGGAAAAAAAAACATTTGAAAAATCGAAAATTTTGTGGTTTATGCTGACAGCCTGAAATGATACAAAAGAAAAGTCTGTGCATCTTATTCACAACAGATATATTTTCCAGAATTTAATTGCCCATAATCAAGGGTGCATATAACACATTGGTGCGTATTATACACGAACAAATAAGTCTTGTGTCTTGTGATCAATCGGAAGGGGTGCTAATTGGGATGGTTCACTAGCCAATATATTAACAAATATTGGCGTGGGCGCTTATTACGTCGAATACAGTGATTGTAATAATGATGCATATGTTGAACTCAGTCTCATGCCAAGAGCTTTCTAATTTTGAGGGACTGTAGCTAGAAAAAGTAATCTTTCTGTTGCAGCCTACACGACAATGTTCCTTTGAGCAATATCTTTGTCATCACATCAATAGAACTGAATACGGTATTTTGGAAAATAAGAATCTGTCTTCTAAAGACAAGAAGAGATTGATAGCACAAACTAAATCTACCACTTGAGGAAAGGGAAATTGGTTACTATGGAGATAAGCATTAGGACTCATTTCGCATGACGTTAAACATTATTTTAGTGGGAGGAGCTGAAATTATCATCGATATTATTTTGTTAGTCAGAGAGTGGAGCGAAGACCTGGAGACTCACTTATGACCAGGGAGGTTCTCTCTGTATATTGGAAGTACGGATAAAAAAAAGTGTTAGAATTTAGAGTTGATAAGAAGTTCTAGCAGACTCTTCTATGCATCTCCTAGGTATGTGTTGTGTATAAATACGTCAGGCTACAGAAACACATCTGAGGACCTATTGTGTGTAGTATTCAAGATTTCTGTCTCGAATAAATGGACTTTGAGCAACAAATCTGACTTGTACTTTGAGAGAGCTACATCATCCCCGGAACCAAGGAGTGGTAAGAATAAGTGGCTGAGGTTGAAGGGTATCACATAACTGACACCTACGGTCACAATATTGGTGTAACGAATCACTACACTGTGAACAGATTCTCAACTCATAGACCATGGTGGAATTTATACAAATTCATTTCTTAATTTTCTGTTTACAGATCGACTGCCACAAATGAAACACTAACAGATAATCTTCTCTTTAAAAAGAAAATTTGTTGCTGTAAATATAGTAAACACCAAATTTTAATTTCCCTATTAAACCAATGCTATGACAATGAAATAACAAAATATTCAGGTCCACATTCCTTCCTTAGTAAACACACCTCAATATCTGTAATCAATATGATCAATATTGTGATCGAGGTATGGTGACTGACAACAGATCAACGTCTAAAATGAGATCAAACATACAAATAAACAAAAAGCATCCCTCTCATACCAGTCTGAGACTGAAGAACAAGGAGGATATCAGCATTCATTAACTGCAGGGCAAAGGAGTTTAGGGCTGTGACGGGTAACTCGGGTACTCGGGTCGGGTGGGTCCTGTCTAGGACCTGGGTACCCACAGGACTACCCGGACCCGTGGTTAGTCACGTGACATATTGTTGAAAGACAAAAATTATCTAAAACTCTATGGTTACACTAGAGTCACTAATGTTCCCATTTCTTTCTGACAATGCACCCATTCCTTCTGACTTTTATATGTTTGAATTAAGATAAAACTTCATGCAGTAAACTTCAGTGTATGCATGACCGGATCGTTTTACACGTATATCTAAATACCTTTTGCCAGGGCTACGGTCAAACTTTTCCAAATCGGACAGTTTGTACCTATCTCTAAATATCTACAGCGGGTACCTGGGTAGGATCGGGTAATAGGGTGGTGGGTACCCGGGTAGTAAATCTGGACTCGTCTCAGCCCTAAAGGAATTGCATTTCCTTTTTTGGTTGAGCATATTTCATGTATCTTAAGGTGTATATAAATGTCCCATGAAGCTCTCTAATCAAGTCGCCTAGCGATAATTGCCGATGGTGTTGCGGATCTGTTGCATTTCATCGTTGTTGACGTAGACATTGCCGATGCTTTCTTGGTTCACATACAGGCTCTCATCTGTGGATTGACTGTTTGTCATGGAGGACGAGATTTCCTGTTGAATTCGTACAAACGACGGCCGTTGTTCATTTTCCACATGCCAGCAAGAGTTCATCAGCTCATATCTGTAAGACACAAGCGTTCATCATCATCATCATCATCATCATCATCATCACCAACACCAACACCATCATCATCATCATCATCACCAACACCATCATCATCATCATCATCATCACCAACACCAACACCATCATCATCATCATCATCATCATCATCACCATCATCATCATCATCATCATCATCATGAAGACAATTTCTTACTCCCCTGCACTGCCACTCCTTATCATTACCATTAATAATTGGGGCCCAGAATCCCTCGTGGGAAATGCTAATGGGGTCCAGAATGCCTACTGACATAGGGTACAGCATCTTGCTGTGAAGAGTTGTGTCCCTTAGCTCTGCCTAGATACTCTGGATTCCATATTCACCCTGATTGTAATCCTTGATCTGTCAGCACCATATCCATGCTTGTGGGTTTAGCCAGAGGGTTGAACCTCTAATGCTGCATCAGTTTCCTCAAACAATGAACTGATGCTGATGCAGAAACTTGCAGAAACCCCCCCCCCCCCCCCCCCACGTTGTAACCACCTCCATGCAAGCCATGCTTGCCGTAAAAGGCGACTATGCTTGACATAAGAGGCAACCAACAGGATTGGGTGGTCAGGCTTGCTGACTTGGTTGATGCTCATCATCGATCCCAATTGGTTGGATCGATGCTCATGATATTAATCACTGGATTGTCTGGTCCAGACTCAATTATTCACAGACCGCTGTCATGTAGCTGGAATATTGCTGAGTGCGGCGTAAAACAACAAACCAACCAACCATAGTGTAGTGGATAGAGCACCTGCCCAGTGGGTTCCACCCCAAGCTGTGTCATACCAAAACTTGGTAAAAGATGGCTTTCTCTGCCTGGTGCTTGGCATTAAGGGGGAAAACAAGTATTGGATGGCTGAGGGTCAGCATATTATGTGTAAATCGGGTATTTTCGTTTTGAACTGTAGCATGCTACCTGAGTGGGCTTAGTAAACACTAATTAGTCCGGACAAGTATAAGAAGACACGCATGCATGCACACACACATGCACGTCGCTATATATAAGTGTCTAAACTTGAAAGTGACATTAAACCCCATTTTACCTCACCACATAGTTCTAGCCTACTGGGCCTCATGGTTTCGGAGAAGCTTCTTAAACATTTAAAGAAATATAATGTCTAAATCCATCAAGCGACTGTGAACAATTTGAATGATGAATTTTTTTTAAAAGATATAACTACTTGCAACAATATATAGTCAAGTCTCGTTAATCCGACACTCGTTAATCAGACAATCGGCTTTATCCGACACTAATGATGGGAACCGATTAAATCAGTGCTATCTAGACCCGTTATTCCGACAGTCTCGCACTCCGACTCCAACACACCTAATTTGCAACGAATTACCGAATCACTCATTTATCAGTCTCGTTAATCCGACACAGTGATCAGCGTACTCCATGGTCATCTGCCTGCGAGTACACAACCCGTCTTTTGTTACGAGACGAATTGGCTTGTAGCTGCATGTTACAATGGCTGTAGAGATAAACTTGCTTAACAAAAACAATTAAAACTTTAAACAAAGAAAACAGGATTAATCACATGCTTAGATTACCTCAATCTCATTAAAATCAGATACAAGTTCTCGCTATCGGCAAGGACATCCCATTACAGGTCACATCAGAACAACCTTTCGCGAACTATGACCTACCAATGAAATGACTAACAGGAAGTTAATGTTAGCAACTTAGAAAGCAGCTTTCTTAAGTTTTGCCGTACCAGTTTCAAAGTTGCGACTATGTTCAGACTATGCTTTATAAAGTATTTTGAATAAGTCATACAGTCCGTACAATCGTTGTCTTTCGTGTAGTTGTCCAATTTTCGATCACAAACGTTGATACTACTTAATTTCGTTTATCCGACATACTCGTTAATCCGACACAATCATATGCAACCATCAATGTTGGATTAACGGGACTTGACTGTAAAGAGAAAGAGTGAGTTGGGTTTAACACCGCTTTTAACAGTATTCCAGTTATATCACGGCGTGTCAGCTTAATGTGGGAGGAAAGCCCGAAGTGATGCAGGTCTCAGACGTTTACCACTTCGGTGAAACCCACGAGCACGGGTATGGTGCTCACAAACCTAGAAACAGAATCGGGGCTAACCAGGATTTGAACCCACAATCATAGGTTTCTGGCGTGTCCAGGAGACGCAACTCTGCACAGCGAATCGCGGTGCCTTAGACAACTGGGCTACCCATGCCCCCTTAAAGAGAAAGATCTAGTCTAAATGCTAGAAGACTTGTGTAACAAAAGGACAGCTAATTGCAAGGGCTCATTGCCACAAGGCCTCCACGTACAGGTCCTCGGTGAGCATCTGGGGTTTGCCCAGTCGGTAGCCGTCCAGGATGCAGTCCTGCAGCTTCTCGTCCGTGATGTCCTGGAACGGCAGCAGCCCCCGCGTCATCAGCTCCCACATCAGGACACCAAATGACCACTGCAGCAAAAACCACTTGCTTTAAGAGGATGCATATACTTAGTCTAAAAGATCATTATTTAAATATTACCTCATCTTTCCATGTAAAAATGACTATAAAAGTCCATTTTCACCCTTACCGAACTAGGCTTGGAATTTCCAGGCTCGATCATAGCACCACCAGCGGCTTTTATGAGTTATGTCCCTTCTATGTCCTCCTATTGACCAATCAGATTCTATCTCTCATATCACTTGGATTTGCTTCAAACAGAGACCATATACCAATATCGGAATATGGTCACTGCTTCAAACAAAATGGTGATGCCCAGTCAAGACGATCTGATCACTAATTAAGATCTATATTGTAATAAAACTTACCCGCAAAGTGCATCAAGTCACTTGAGCACCTTAAATATAAATATGAACAGATTTGCAAAATATCTGTCGATGCCCAGTTGGCAGTACACATGCTTTGCAAATCCTGCAGTCGGCCAAAATCTGCATGTTGAAATCCATGTTGTTTACAAACCAAGTGTCTAGTTCATTAAACGGTTTTGATTGGACTATGCAAAAGACTCTGGAATTCCAGGCTAGTTTGGCAATGGAGGGAACTGGACTTTATAGTAAACGCCCTAGCCTCGGCAAAATAATATTACCTATAAAGGTAGAATGATCATGTGTAATAACTTTCTGATACTTGCACATGTGTATTGGTCTATTGAAGCCATATGACATTGAGAAAAATATGATATGACGTCACCTATTGTTCATGATGTCACAAATTGATGACATTACGTCCTCTAAACAATAGGCTTTGTTTAGTGAAGTTTCTGTCTAGGATTGACATTTCATACATTTTCTTCACTTTCTCTCTTTAGAATCTGCATCTTTAGAATAAGCTCCGCGGTTCTTTTGAGGAGACAGAACCAGGGGCACAGTTTTGTGATTGTGTGTGATCCTTGTTTGTCACTAGGTTGCCTGGTCCAGACTCCATTATTGACAGGCAGCCATGGAATAGATGGAGTATTGCTGACATTAGCTCACTCACTTACTCACTCACTCATGCACATGCTACAAAACATCATCAGAACAAAAAATATGAGAGCACTGACCACATCTGACTTGCTGTCATAGAAGCCGGTACTGAGGCTCTCCGGTGCCATCCAGCGCACTGGCAAGTACCGATCTCTCTGGTTGTCATACATGTATTCATTTGGATAAAAGTCCCATGAGAAAGCAGCGTCAGTGATCTTCACCCTCCCTCCAGAATCCAACCTAGGGAGACATGACAAGTTATAGACATGACGCTTTACAATCAGAGAGTGACACCTCTCATGACACATTGCAAACAGAGAGTGACACCTCACATGACACTTTACAATCAGAGAGTGACACCTCTCATGACACATAATAATCAGAGAGTGACACCTCACATGACACATTACAAACAGAGAGTGACACCTCTCATGACACATAACAATCAGAGAGTGACACATTACATGACACATTGCAATCAGAGAGTGACACCTTACATGACACATTACACTCAGAGAGTGACACCTCACATGACATATAACAATCAGAGTGTGACACCTCACATGACACATTACAATCAGATAGTGACACCTCACATGACACATTACAATCAGAGAGTGACACCTCTCATGACACATTCCAAACAGAGAGTGACACATCACATGACACATTACAATCAGATAGTGACACCTCACATGACGCTTTACAATCAGAGAGTGACACCTCTCATGACACATTGCAAACAGAGAGTGACACCTCTCATGACACATAATAATAAGAGAGTGACACCTCACATGACACATTACAAACAGAGAGTGACACCTCTCATGACACATAACAATCAGAGAGTGACACATTACATGACACATTGCAAACAGAGTGTGACACCTCACATGACACATTACAATCAGATAGTGACACCTCACATGACGCTTTACAATCAGAGAGTGACACCTCTCATGACACATTGCAAACAGAGAGTGACACCTCACATGACACTTTACAATCAGAGAGTGACACCTCTCATGACACATAATAATCAGAGAGTGACACCTCACATGACACATTACAAACAGAGAGTGACACCTCTCATGACACATAACAATCAGAGAGTGACACATTACATGACACATTGCAATCAGAGAGTGACACCTTACATGACACATTACACTCAGAGAGTGACACCTCACATGACATATAACAATCAGAGTGTGACACCTCACATGACACATTACAATCAGAGAGTGACACCTCACATGACACATAACAATCAGAGAGTGACACCTTACATGACACATTACAATCAGATAGTGACACCTCACATGACACATTACAATCAGAGAGTGACACCTCACATGACACATTACAATCAGAAAGTGACACCTCTCATGACACATAATAATCAGAGAGTGACACCTCACATGGCACATTACAATCAGAAAGTGACACCTCTCATGACACATAAGAATCAGAGAGTGACACCTCACATGGCTCATTACAATCAGAAAGTGACACCTCACATGACACATTACAATCAGAGTGACACCTCACATGACACATTACACTCAGAGAGTGACACCTCACATGACACATTACAATCAGAGAGTGACACCTTACATGACACATTACACTCAGAGAGTGACACCTCACATGACACATAACAATCAGAGTGTGACACCTCACATGACACATTACAATCAGAGAGTGACACCTCACATGACACATTACAATCAGAGAGTGACACCTCACATGACACATTACAATCAGAGAGTGACACCTTACATGACACATTACACTCAGAGAGTGACACCTCTCATGACACATAACAATCAGAGAGTGACACCTTACATGACACATTACAATCAGAGAGTGACACATTACATGACACATTGCACTCAGAGAGTGACCCCTCACATGATACATTACAATCAGTGAGTGACACCTTACATGACACATTACAATCAGAGAGTGACACCTCACATGACACATTACAAGCAGAGAATGACACCTCACATGACACATTACAATCAGAGAGTGACACGTTATATGACACATTACAATCAGAGAGTGACACCTTACATGACACATAATAATCAGAGAGTGACACCTCACATGACACATTACAATCAGAGTGACACCTCTCATGACACATAACAATCAGAGAGTGACACATTACATGTCACATTGCAATCAGAGAGTGACACCTGACATGACACATTACAATCAGTGAGTGATACCTCACATGGCACATTACAATCAGAGAGTGACACCTCACATGACACATTACAATCAGAGTGTGACACCTCACATGACACATTACAATCAGAGACACCTTACATGACACATTGCAACCAGAGTGTGACACCTCACATGACACATTACAATCAGAGTGTGACACATCACATGACACATTACAATCAAAGACACCTTACATGACACATTATAATCAGAGTGACACCTCAAATGACACATTGCAATCAGAGAGTGACACCTCACATGATTCATAACAATCAGAGTGACACCTCACATGACACATTACAACCAGAGTGTGACACCTCACATGGTACATTACAATCAGAGAGTGACACCTCACATGATACATTACAACCAGAGTGTGACACCTCACATGGCACATTACAACCAGAGTGTGACACCTCACATGGCACATAACAATCAGAGTGACACCTCACATGACACATTGCAATCAGAGTGTGACACCTCACATGGCACATTACAACCAGAGTGTGACACCTCACATGGCACATAACAATCAGAGTGACACCTCACATGATACATAACAATCAGAGAGTGACACATTACATGACACATTGCACTCAGAGAGTGACACCTCACATGACACATTACAATCAGAGTGACACCTCACATGACACATTACACTCAGAGAGTGACACCTCACATGACACATTACAATCAGAGAGTGACACCTCACATGACACATTACAATCAGAGTGTGACACCTCACATGACACATTACAATCAGAGACACCTCACATGACACGTTACAATCAGAGTGTGACACCTTACATGACACATTACAATCAGAGAGTGACACCTTACATGACACATTACAACCAGAGTGTGACACCTCACATGGCACATTACAATCAGAGAGTGACACCTCACATGACACATTACAATCAGAGTGTGACACCTCACATGACACATTACAATCAGAGACACCTTACATGACACATTGCAACCAGAGTGTGACACCTCACATGACACATTACAATCAGAGTGTGACACATCACATGACACATCACAATCAGAGACACCTTACATGACACATTACAATCAGAGTGACACCTCAAATGACACATTGCAATCAGTGAGTGACACCTCACATGATTCATAACAATCAGAGTGACACCTCACATGACACATTACAACCAGAGTGTGACATCTCACATGGTACATTACAATCAGAGAGTGACACCTCACATGATACATTACAACCAGAGTGTGACACCTCACATGGCACATTACAACCAGAGTGTGACACCTCACATGGCACATAACAATCAGAGTGACACCTCACATGACACATTGCAACCAGAGAGTGACACCTCACATGACACATTACAATCAGAGTGACACCTCACATGACACATTACAATCAGAGAGTGACACCTCACATGACACATTACAATCAGAGAGTGACACCTCACATGACACATTACAATCAGAGTGTGACACCTCACATGACACATTACAATCAGAGACACCTCACATGACACATTACAATCAGAGTGTGACACCTTACATGACACATTACAATCAGAGAGTGACACCTTACATGACACATTACAACCAGAGTGTGACACCTCACATGGCACATTACAATCAGAGAGTGACACCTCACATGATACATTACAATCAGAGTGTGACACCTCACATGACACATTACAATCAGAGACACCTTACATGACACATTACAATCAGAGTGTGACACCTCACATGACACATTACAAACAATCAGTGTGTGATACATTTCCCTGTCCAGGTCTACTTACATGCAGTACTGGTTGCCACGGTTTCTAACAAGTGTTACTGGTGGCCACGGTTATTTACAAGTGGTACTGGTTGCCACAGTTACTTACATGCAGTACTGGTTGCCACAGTTACTTACATGCAGTACTGGTTGCCACTGTTACTTACATGCAGTACTGGTTGCCACTGTTACTTACATGCAGTACTGGTTGCCACAGTTACTTACATGCAGTACTGGTTGCCACTGTTACTTACATGCAGTACTGGTTGCCACTGTTACTTACATGCAGTACTGGTTGCCAATGGTTTCTTACATGCTGTACTTATTGCCACGGTTACTTACATGCAGTACTGGTTGCCACGGTTACTTACATGCAGTACTCAGGTTGCCACAGTTACTTACATGCAGTACTCAGGTTGCCACAGTTACTTACATGCAGTACTGGTTGCCATGGTTACTTACATGCAGTACTGGTTGCCACTGTTACTTACATGCAGTTCCTGGCAGCCAGGTCTTTGTGCACCACATCCTTGCTAGTCAGGAAGTCCATGCCCTCACACACCTGGGCAGCTAACTCCAGCAGCTGCCGCAGCATGAAGTCCTACATGGGATAGTAGGCCACAGATCAGTACATGTACCTCTACTCCTGATGTTATTATTGAGCACTGTCCAATGAGAGCTGGTAAAGCCTGGCTAACTTTCAACTATGGGCCATAACAAAGTGAACTAGTCAACGTAGTACATTGTTTGAGTTTGTTTCTTTGTTATTTAACGCTGAACTCAGCAATATTCCAGCTTTATGACGGCGGTCTGTAAATTGACATCATGAGCATTGATTGGGATATGATGACATGCATCAAGCAAGTCAGCGAGTCTGACCAACAGATATCGTTAGTTACCTCTTACGACAAGCATGGGTTGCTGGAGACCTAACCCGGATCTTCACAGGTACATTGTTTGAATAGTTCATTGCAAGTGTATTTGGTCTGTTGAGGCCGTGGGTATATTAGTGAACGTGATAGGGGTTCAAATGGGCACAGAAATGGAAAAGAATGAGTACCAAGAAGTCATCAAGTTTTTTATTTTAGAGAAAGTACTCCCCAAGAAGTTCATGACTGCATGTCACAAGTGTATGGGGATACTGTTTCGCGTTGGGCAGCTATGTTTTAGGCTTGGAGAACAGGCCTTGATGACGACCCTAGGTCTGGACGTCCCTCAACTTCCATCAATGAAGATTCAATCAAGGAAATAGAAAAACTTATACTGTCAGATAGATGTATTACCATTCCTGAACTTGAGGAAGACATAGCTCTAAGCCATGGATCCATTCAAACTATTATTCATGAACATTTACAGATGAATAAGATATCTGCTCATAAAGTGCCAAAGTTTCTAAATTCTAATCTTTAGGAAAAAATAACTGACATTGCCAGAGACAATTTAGAGCTAAACAAGCAAGAAGTACTTCAGAGCCCTATACTTACCCCCTAAAACTTGTCAGATCCATACACATATGCATATATTGGTTCTTTGGTTTAGAAAAAATATTTTATTAGCATTACCCTTTTTGTGTCTACAATATGGTCTTTGAGTGTCCGGTTCTCCATATAAGGGTAGAGAATATAGAACCGCTTCTTGTCCAGTCCGATTCCCTTGATGGTCAACAAGTACTCGTCATCATAGGGTCTGAAGCGCAGACATTCTCTCAGTGCTGTTGTGTACAGTGGGGAGAGTACGCCAGACTCTGGGGACCAAACATATGACAATCAGATATTGTTTATTGGCAACAAAGACGTGTAACCTTGTCTCACCTGGCAACAAAGATGTGTAACTGTGTGTCACCTGGCAACAAGGATGTGTAACTGTGTCTAAACTGGCAACAAGGAAGTGTAACTGTGTGTCACCTGGCAACAAGGATGTGTAACTGTGTCTCAACTGGCAACAAGAACGGGTTACTGTGTGTCACCTGGCAACAAAGACGTGTAGCTGTGTGTCACCTGGCAACAAGGATGTGTAACTTTGTTTCTCACCTTGCAACAAAGACGTGTAACTTTGTCTCACCTGGCAAGGGTACTTTCAACATCTTGATGGTGAGTTTCTCCATGGGTTCTACCTTGGACCGGGCAGTAAAGGCTCCGTCTACTAACCTGGCATGGGTTCCTACAAATAAGTGTGACATCTTCATCATCATGTCGGTCAAAGAACATTCAACCTGTCGGAAAGTATCTTTACCTTTAACTCCTGTTCTTTAACTTGTAAATCAACTTGTAAATTGACTTGTAAATCGACTTGTACATCAACTTGTACATCAACTCACACATCAACTCATACATCACCTCGTACATCACCTCGTACATCAACTCGTACATCAACTCGTACATCAACTCGTACATCAACTCGTACATCAACTTATACATCAACTTGTACATCAACTTGTACATCGACTTGTACATCGACTTGTACATCAACTTGTACATCAACTTGCACATAAACCTGTACTTGTACACCAACTTCTATCATCAACTTTCGCACCCACCTTTAGCAAAACACACATTGCCAACAGCAAAGTTCTTCTTGCCAATGACACAGGCCTGTACTTTGCTGCGGATGCCCTCCTCTACGCGGTGCAGGAAGTACTCCGTGTTGACCACTTCATCCTTGTCATGTTCCTCAGCATCCGTGCCATCAAACGCTGGGTTGCTATAGCGATTGATTTTGGGGAAGGGGGTGTAGGGCCGTGCGGGCTGTATCAGTTCATGTTCATCACTGCCCCTTGTATCTGAAGCAACACAGGTAAGCAGAGAAATATCATCTATTTAAATGATCAGCTTACCAGTATTCAACATGTCCTTAAGTCTACAAAGAGTATGTGGTTCCAATTAGCTGAATAACCCTAATTTTGGATGCTCATGCTGACTTGTTTTCAGTGGTACTCACACTAAAAAATAAAGAGTACACATGAAAATATACTACTCAAAAGAAGTTAAAGCACACCCAGTTCCTCATATTACTAAAGTAATTAACTATAGTAATATGAAAGAATTGGGTGTGCATATACCAAAGTTTACTGTAGTTCTCTAAAATATGTATTTTTTTAAAAAGAAAAAAACCCAATAATATATATCCCAAAGCCTGTTAAATATGTGTGTAAAATCACATGACTTATGTCATCTATCTCAATACACTTAAAAAGGTTAACTTAAAAGCCTGTGAGTCAAATTATTCCTACCATTCTTTAATGCTGTCAATACATTGCAAGGTACTTTTCAATAGACAAAGCAATGATAGCAATCAGTGACCATGTCCCTAGGTATATGGGCTCTGTAGCAATGTTACATACAATATTTTCAATACTCTAAATCATAATTCCCCAACACAATAGCAAAACATTCCTGAATTGAAGCATGATCCTGTGCTTGTTCTTTTAAAATAAAACAGTAATCGCAATAGTTTCTTTCAATATCAATAGTTATCGCAATAGTGATTTCCAGACCAATATTCACCTCTAGTACTTATCATATATTATATTATAGAATGGAGATATTTCACCCTGGATAACTCAATAATAACATAATAGCATGAAATACTCATATCCCCCACAAATATGACATGTCCGGTTATGTGCAAGGCAAGAAATATTGTACGGTTTTCAAGATCTGCCCCGGAATCGAGCACTACCGCCATTTTCATTCTAAGTCGTTTCTATGGAAACTCGAAAAATATTTTCTTTAAAAATCCCAAACTTCCAAAAGGCGCCAGTTTACCACTAGACCTATGTATGTGCCAAGCTTGGTGAAGAAATATTGTATGTTTTTTCAAGATCTGTTCCTGGAAGGAGCACTAATGTCATTTTCAAAATTGTTGCCATGGAAACTTGAATTATTATTTTTTTTAAATCCAAAACTATCAAAAGGCACCAGTTCACCATTAGACCTATCTATGTGCCAAGTTTGGTTAAGATATGTCTCATGGTTTTTAACTTCTGCTCCGGAAATGAAACGTGACGCACGGAAGGACCCATTCCTATATCCCCCTTCCACTTCGTGGCAGGGGATAATAATTCTGTATTTATATACACCATGTCAGGCTGACATGGTATGGCTGGAATATTGCAAAAATAATTAAACACCCATCTCACTCACTCATTCACTGAAGGTAATATGGAGGACAAGTTTCTTACCATTGTCCTGTGTCAGGGGAGTGATATTCTTCAATGGCTCACTAATTTGGGTATTGTGGCTGCGGCGGCGACGACGACGTCGACACACACAGATGCAGATGAGCAGTGCGATTAGAGCTATAATAAACAGGCCACCTCCCACCATGATGTAGACAAAATACTCCGTCAGCCAGAATTGTTTGTAGTAGATTTCTCCCACTTCCACTTCTCGAACTCCAATAAACACCTGGTTTCAAAGGAAACCAAAATACTTAAGTTCATGAAATCAAATTTAGTGGCATTTGAAAAATACAAACAACACATTTTTATTATCAGTAGGATGAGTATATACAAAACAAGCAGACTATACATCTCCCTGAGGCAAGAAAGTTAACTGACAATACAAGTCCAGTTCCCACCCTTGATAAACTTTACTGGTATTATGGAGTTACATTTTGGTTGAACTAACGAGTCCATGCATAGTCCAATCAAAATAGCACAACGAAATCAAAATCCGGTTCATAAACTGTCATGAAGATTTCGGTCAATTTCAGGATTCGCAAAGCATGTACACTGCCAATTCGTCAACAGATATTTTCCAAATCTTTTCATGTTTTTAATGAAGGTGCTCACATGATTTGATGCACTTCGCGATGTAAGACCTGTTTTATCACAATTTAGATCTTGATTATCAATCAGATCATCTTGACTGGGCACCGCCATTTTGTGTGAAGCAAATGAAAGTGATACGAGAAGTGGAATCTAATAGGAGAGGCATAGAATGAAACATAACTCGTAATAGCCACTGGTGGCTCTACGCCCAGAAATTGCAGCCCTGTTTGGCAAGGTTGGAAACTGGACTTTTAAAGTCAGTTAACTCTCTTGCCTTGGGAAGATGCACTTACTGCTATATCAAGTACAAAACACAACCAATCAGCATGAAATACATTCTAAATATTCCACTCAAACTAAGGGCAGTGAGGTAGCCCAGAGGTGAATGTGTTTGCCCATCACTATGAACGCCCTGGTTTGATTCCCCACATGGAACAAGAGTCCATTTCTACCATAATTTAAGACACATTGTTTTTGGCCATTTGACTTTAGACAACAATTTTACAATAATGAAGAATTCAAATACAACTAGGGGCGGTCGGGTAGCCTGGTGGTTAAAGCGTTCGCTCATCACGCCGAAGACCCGGGTTCAATTCCCAACATGGGTACAATGTATGCAGCCCATTTCTGGTGTCCCCCGCCGTGATATTGCTGGAATATTGCTAAAAGCGGCGTAAAACCATACACACTCACTCACTCAAATACAACTATTTGATTGGCATTCTAGAATCTGGTGAGTAAGTAGGAAAACGTACAAACTTTATGGATAACAACTCCGGCTTTGTTGCATATAGCCATGTTTCAGTCATGCATATCTACCTCTCATCACTTGGTTGTATTCACTCCAGCTTCATAACAGTGTAAGAATATACTTCGAAACGTATTATATGCAATATACCAAAAGTTGTTATGCATAAATTTGTACATTTTCTTAATTCAAATATAGCGTTTTGTTAATGTTGGCTTATAATTAAACCCACTTCGGCCTCTAGTTTTGGCTCACACACAAAACAAAATTCTTCTAAAGTTTGAACAAACAGAAGTGTATTGAGAATTACCTGCACAGTCTGAAACCATCTGCAGCGATAGTTTTAGTCCACAGTCCTTATAATGATAACATATAGTGACATATATATATTTAACATTATTCCAGTTATATCACGGCATGTCAGCTTAATGTGGGAGGAAAGCCCGAGGTGATGCAGGTCTCAGACATTTACCCCTTGGTGAAACCCACGAGTACGGGTAAGGTGCTGACAAACCTAGAAACATAATCGGGGCGAACCGGGATTCGAACCAATGATAACCTTTAGTAATGGCAAACTTCTACTAGTCCTTATGATGTCTTAACTACTGGGCAGTTTGGCAAGGACGATGTACAGGACTAGCGCCAATTTCTAATGCTGATCTGAGGACATTCTAGGTGTTCCTACCCTCATCTTGTACTTTCTTGTGTCAGTAGTTGTAGTGACGGGTGGGGAGCTGGGTGGTTCACACTCGATGCTGGTCTCTGACAAACTGGTGATGGGGCAGTCAACATTATCTCCAATGATAACGCTGTAGTCGTCTCTGGGACAGTCCTTGCCAATTCTCTCACCCTGTCAAAGTAATATCAAAGTACTGGTGAACAGGAGGGGAAACAAGGAGATGGTGAAGGGGGTGGGGAGGTGAAACAGAGAGATGTGAAGGGGGTGGGGAGGGAGAAACAGGGAGATGGTGAAGGGGTGGGGAGGGAGAAACAGGGAGATGTGAAGGGGTGGGGAGGTGAAACAGGGAGATGGTGAAGGGGGTGGGGAGGTGAAACAGAGAGATGTGAAGGGGGTGGGGAGGTGAAACAGGGAGATGGTGAAGGGGTGGGGAGGTGAAACAGGGAGATGTGAAGGGGTGGGGAGGTGAAACAGGGAGATGGTGAAGGGGGTGGGGAGGTGAAACAGAGAGATGTGAAGGGGGTGGGGAGGGAGAAACAGGGAGATGTGAAGGGGTGGGGAGGTGAAACAGGGAGATGGTGAAGGGGTGGGGAGGGAGAAACAGGGAGATGTGAAGGGGTGGGGAGGTGAAACAGGGAGATGTGAAGGGGTGGGGAGGTGAAACAGGGAGATGGTGAAGGGGGTGGGGAGGTGAAACAGAGAGATGTGAAGGGGTTGGGGAGGGAGAAACAGGGAGATGTGAAGGGGTGGGGAGGTGAAACAGAGAGATGTGAAGGGGGTGGGGAGGTGTAACAGAGAGATGTGAAGGGGGTGGGGAGGTGAAACAGGGAGATGTGAAGGGGTGGGGAGGGAGAAACAGGGAGATGTGAAGGGGGTGGGGAGGGAGAAACAGGGAGATGTGAAGGGGTGGGGAGGTGAAACAGAGAGATGTGAAGGGGGTGGGGAGGTGTAACAGAGAGATGTGAAGGGGGTGGGGAGGTGAAACAGGGAGATGGTGATGGGGTGGGGAGGTGAAACAGGGAGATGTGAAGGGGGTGGGGAGGGAGAAACAGGGAGATGTGAAGGGGTGGGGAGGTGAAACAGAGAGATGTGAAGGGGGTGGGGAGGTGTAACAGAGAGATGTGAAGGGGGTGGGGAGGTGAAACAGGGAGATGTGAAGGGGTGGGGAGGTGAAACAGAGAGATGTGAAGGGGGTGGGGAGGTGAAACAGGGAGATGTGAAGGGGTGGGGAGGTGAAACAGAGAGATGTGAAGGGGGTGGGGAGGGAGAAACAGGGAGATGTGAAGGGGTGGGGAGGTGAAACAGAGAGATGTGAAGGGGGTGGGGAGGTGTAACAGAGAGATGTGAAGGGGGTGGGGAGGTGAAACAGGGAGATGTGAAGGGGTGGGGAGGTGAAACAGAGAGATGTGAAGGGGGTGGGGAGGTGAAACAGAGAGATGTGAAGGGGGTGGGGAGGGAGAAACAGGGAGATGGTGAAGGGGTGGGGAGGTGAAACAGGGAGATGGTGAAGGGGTGGGGAGGGAGAAACAGGGAGATGGTGAAGGGGTGGGGAGGGAGAAACAGGGAGATGTGAAGGGGAGGGGAGGGAGAAACAGGGAGATGTGAAGGGGAGGGGAGGGAGAAACAGGGAGATGATGAAGGGGTGGGGAGGGAGAAACAGGGAGATGGTGAAGGGGAGGTGAGGAAGAAACAGGGAGATGGTGAAGGGGTGGGGAGTGGAAACAGGGAGATGGTGAAGGGTCGGGGAGGTGAAACAGGGAGATGTGAAGGGGAGGGGAGTGGAAACAGGGAGATATGAAGGGGAGGGGAGGGAGAAACAGGGAGATGGTGAAGGGGAGGGGAGGAAGAAACAGGGAGATGGTGGAGGGGGTGGGGAGGTGAAACAGGGAGATGGTGAAGGGGAGGGGAGGGAGAAACAGGGAGATGGTGAAGGGGTGGGGAGGGAGAAACAGGGAGATGGTGAAGGGGAGGTGAGGAAGAAACAGGGAGATGGTGAAGGGGTGGGGAGTGGAAACAGGGAGATGGTGAAGGGTCGGGGAGGTGAAACAGGGAGATGTGAAGGGGAGGGGAGTGGAAACAGGGAGATGGTGAAGGGGTGGGGAGGTGAAACAGGGAGATGTGAAGGGGTGGGGAGGTGAAACAGAGAGATGTGAAGGGGGTGGGGAGGGAGAAACAGGGAGATGTGAAGGGGTGGGGAGTGGAAACAGGGAGATGGTGAAGGGGTGGGGAGGTGAAACAGGGAGATGTGAAGGGGTGGGGAGGTGAAACAGAGAGATGTGAAGGGGGTGGGGAGGGAGAAACAGGGAGATGTGAAGGGGTGGGGAGGTGAAACAGAGAGATGTGAAGGGGGTGGGGAGGTGTAACAGAGAGATGTGAAGGGGGTGGGGAGGTGAAACAGGGAGATGTGAAGGGGTGGGGAGGTGAAACAGAGAGATGTGAAGGGGGTGGGGAGGTGAAACAGAGAGATGTGAAGGGGGTGGGGAGGGAGAAACAGGGAGATGGTGAAGGGGTGGGGAGGTGAAACAGGGAGATGGTGGAGGGGTGGGGAGGGAGAAACAGGGAGATGGTGAAGGGGTGGGGAGGGAGAAACAGGGAGATGTGAAGGGGAGGGGAGGGAGAAACAGGGAGATGTGAAGGGGAGGGGAGGGAGAAACAGGGAGATGATGAAGGGGTGGGGAGGGAGAAACAGGGAGATGGTGAAGGGGAGGTGAGGAAGAAACAGGGAGATGGTGAAGGGGTGGGGAGTGGAAACAGGGAGATGGTGAAGGGTCGGGGAGGTGAAACAGGGAGATGTGAAGGGGAGGGGAGTGGAAACAGGGAGATATGAAGGGGAGGGGAGGGAGAAACAGGGAGATGGTGAAGGGGAGGGGAGGAAGAAACAGGGAGATGGTGGAGGGGGTGGGGAGGTGAAACAGGGAGATGGTGAAGGGGAGGGGAGGGAGAAACAGGGAGATGGTGAAGGGGTGGGGAGGGAGAAACAGGGAGATGGTGAAGGGGAGGTGAGGAAGAAACAGGGAGATGGTGAAGGGGTGGGGAGTGGAAACAGGGAGATGGTGAAGGGTCGGGGAGGTGAAACAGGGAGATGTGAAGGGGAGGGGAGTGGAAACAGGGAGATGGTGGAGGGGGTGGGGAGGTGAAACAGGGAGATGGTGAAGGGGAGGGGAGGGAGAAACAGGGAGATGTGAAGGGGAGGGGAGGGAGAAACAGGGAGATGGTGAAGGGGAAGGGAGGAAGAAACAGGGAGATGGTGAAGGGGTGGGGAGGGAGAAACAGGGAGATGGTGAAGGGGAGGGGAGGTGAAACAGGAAGATGTGAAGGGGTGGGGAGGGAGAAACAGGGAGATGGTGAAGGGGTGGGGAGGGAGAAACAGGGAGATGGTGAAGGGGTGGGGAGGGAGAAACAGGGAGATAGTGGAGGGGTCTGGAGTGGAAACAGGGAGATGGTGAATGGGTGGGGAGGAAAAAACAGGGAGATGGTGAAGGGGTGGGGAGTGGAAACAGGGAGATGGTGGAGGGGTCTGGAGTGGAAACAGGGAGATGGTGAATGGGTGGGGAGGAAAAAACAGGGAGATGGTGAAGGGGTGGGGAGTGGAAACAGGGAGATGGTGGAGGGGTCTGGAGTGGAAACAGGGAGATGGTGAATGGGTGGGGAGGAAAAAACAGGGAGATGGTGAAGGGGTGGGGAGTGGAAACAGGGAGATGTGAAGGGGGTGGGGGGGGGGGGGGGGAGAAACAGGGAGATGTGAAGGGGGTGGGGAGGGAGAAACAGGGAGATGGATGAGGGGTGGGGAGTGGAAATTGGGAGATGGTGGAGGGATGGGGAGGGAGAAACAGGGAGATGTGAAAGGGGGGGGGGGGAGAAACAGGGAGATGTGAAGGGGGTGGGGAGGGAGAAACAGGGAGATGGATGAGGGGTGGGGAGTGGAAATTGGGAGATGGTGGAGGGATGGGGAGGGAGAAACAGGGAGATGGTGGAGGGGTGCGGAGTGGAAACAGGGAGATGGTGAAGGGGGAGGGGAGGGGGAAACAGGGAGATGATGAAGGGGGTGGGGAGGGAGAATCAGTGAGATGTGAAGGGGGGTGGGGAGGGAGATCAGGGAGATGGTGAAGGGGATGGGGAGGGAGAAACAGGGAGAGGTGAAGGGGGGCCGGGGAGGGAGAAACAGGGAGATGGTGAAGGGGGTGGGGAGGGAGAAACAGGGAGATGTGAAGGGGGGTTGGGGAGGGAGAAACAGGGAGATGTGAAGGGGGTGGGGAGGTGAAACAGGGAGAGGTGAAGGGGGGCCGGGGAGGGAGAAACAGGGAGATGGTGAAGGGGTTGGGAGTGGAAACTGGTAGATGGTGAAGGGGAGGGGAGGGGGAACAGGGAGATGGTGATGCGGAGAGGAATGGAGTAACAGGGGGATGGTGATGGGGTGGGGAGGGAGAAACAGGGAGATAGTGAAGGGGTGCGGAGTGGAAACAGGGAGATGGTGAATGGGAGGGGAGTGGAAACAGGGAGATGGTGGAGGGGGTGGGGAGGCAGAAACAGGGAGATGGTGAAGGGGGTGGGGAGGCAGAAACAGGGAGATGGTGGAGGGGTGCGGAGTGGAAACAGGGAGATGGTGAAGGGGTGGGGAGTGGAAACAGGGAGATGGTGATGCGGAGGGGAATGGAGTAACAGGGAGATGGTGATGGGGAGGGGAGGGAGTAACAGGGGGATGGTGATGGGGAGGGGAGGGAGTAACAGGTGCATGGTGATGGGGAGGGGAGGGAGTAACAGGTGCATGGTGATGGGGAGGGGAGGGAGTAACAGGGGGATGGTGAAGGGGTAGGGGAGGGGAAACAGGAAGATGGTGATGGGGTGGGGAGGGAGAAACAGGGAGATAGTGAAGGGGTGCGGAGTGGAAACAGGGAGATGGTGAATGGGAGGGGAGTGGAAACAGGGAGATGTGAAGGGGGTGGGGAGGCAGAAACAGGGAGATGGTGGAGGGGTGCGGAGTGGAAACAGGGAGATGGTGAAGGGGTGGGGAGTGGAAACAGGGAGATGGTGAAGGGGAGGGGAGGAAGAAACAGGGAGATGGTGAAGGTGTGGGGAGTGGAAACAGGGAGATGGTGAAGGGGTGGGGAGGTGAAACAGGAAGATGGTGGAGGGGTGGGGAGGTGAAACAGGAAGATGTGAAGGGGTGGAGAGGGAGAAACAGGGAGATGGTGAAGGGGTGGGGAGGAAGAAACAGGGAGATGCTGAAGGGGTTGGGAGGGAGAAACAGGGAGATGGTGAAGGGGAGGGGAGGAAGAAACAGGGAGATGGTGAAGGTGTGGGGAGTGGAAACAGGGAGATGGTGAAGGGGTGGGGAGGTGAAACAGGAAGATGGTGGAGGGGTGGGGAGGTGAAACAGGAAGATGTGAAGGGGTGGAGAGGGAGAAACAGGGAGATGGTGAAGGGGTGGGGGGTGGAAACAGGGAGATGTGAAGGGGGTGGGGAGGGAGAAACAGGGAGATGTGAAGGGGGTGGGGAGGGGGAAACAGGGAGATGGTGAAGGGGTGGGGGGTGGAAACAGGGAGATGTGAAGGGGGTGGGGAGTGGAAACAGGGAGATGGTGAATGGGTGGGGAGGAAAAAACAGGGAGATGGTGAAGGGGTGGGGGGTGGAAACAGGGAGATGTGAAGGGGGTGGGGAGGGAGAAACAGGGAGATGTGAAGGGGTGGGGAGGGAGAAACAGGGAGATGGTGAAGGGGTGGGGAGGGAGAAACAGGAAGATGGTGGAGGGGTGGGGAGGTGAAACAGGAAGATGTCAAGGGGTGGAGAGGGAGAAACAGGGAGATGGTGAAGGGGTGGGGAGTGGAAACAGGGAGATGGTGAATGGGTGGGGAGGAAAAAACAGGGAGATGGTGAAGGGGTGCGGAGTGGAAACAGGGAGATGTGAAGGGGGTGGGGAGGGAGAAACAGGGAGATGGTGAAGGGGTGGGGAGGGAGAAACAGGGAGATGGTGAAGGGGTGGGGAGGGAGAAACAGGGAGATGGTGAAGGGGTGCGGAGTGGAAACTGGGAGATGGTGAATGGGAGGGGAGTGGAAACAGGGAGATGTGAAGGGGGTGGGGAGGCAGAAACAGGGAGATGGTGGAGGGGTCTGGAGTGGAAACAGGGAGATGGTGAATGGGTGGGGAGGAAAAAACAGGGAGATGGTGAAGGGGTGGGGAGTGGAAACAGGGAGATGTGAAGGGGGTGGGGAGGGAGAAACAGGGAGATGGATGAGGGGTGGGGAGTGGAAACTGGGAGATGGTGAAGGGGGTGGGGAGGCAGAAACAGGGAGATGTGAAGGGGGTGGGGAGGCAGAGACAGGGAGATGGTGAAGGGGTGGGGAGTGGAAACAGGGAGATGGTGAATTGGAGGGGAGTGGAAACAGGGAGATGGTGGAGGGGTGCGGAGTGGAAACAGGGAGATGGTGAATGGGAGGGGAGTGGAAACAGAGAGATGTGAAGGGGGTGGGGAGGCAGAAACAGGGAGATGGATGAGGGGTGGGGAGTGGAAACTAGGAGATGGTGGAGGGATGGGGAGGGAGAAACAGGGAGATGGTGGAGGGGTGCGGAGTGGAAACAGGGAGATGTTGAAGGGGGAGGGGAGGGGGAAACAGGGAGATGATGAAGGGGATGGGGAGGGAGAAACAGGGAGAGGTGAAGGGGGGCCGGGGAGGGAGAAACAGGGAGATGTGAAGGGGGTGGGGAGGGAGAAACAGGGAGATGTGAAGGGGGGGTGGGGAGGGAGAAACAGGGAGAGGTGAAGGGGATGGGGAGGGAGAAACAGGGAGAGGTGAAGGGGGTGGGGAGGGAGAAACAGGGAGAGGTGAAGGGGGGCCGGGGAGGGAGAAACAGGGAGATGGTGAAGGGGTGGGGAGTGGAAACTGGGAGATGGTGAAGGGGAGGGGAGGGGGAACAGGGGGATGGTGATGGGGAGGGGAGGGAGTAACAGGTGCATGGTGATAGGGAGGGGAGGGAGTAACAGGGGGATGGTGAAGGGGTAGGGGAGGGGAAACAGGAAGATGGTGATGGGGTGGGGAGGGAGAAACAGGGAGATGGTGAAGGGGTGCGGAGTGGAAACAGGGAGATGGTGAATGGGAGGGGAGTGGAAACAGGGAGATGTGAAGGGGGTGGGGAGGCAGAAACAGGGAGATGGTGGAGGGGTGCGGAGTGGAAACAGGGAGATGTGAAGGGGGTGGGGAGGGAGAAACAGGGAGATGGATGAGGGGTGGGGAGTGGAAACTGGGAGATGGTGGAGGGATGGGGAGGGAGAAACAGGGAGAGGTGAAGGGGGGCCGGGGAGGGAGAAACAGGGAGATGGTGAAGGGGTGGGGAGTGGAAGCTGGGAGATGGTGGAGGGATGGGGAGGGAGAAACAGGGAGAGGTGAAGGGGTGGGGAGTGGAAGCTGGGAGATGGTGAAGGGGAGGGGAGGGAGTAACAGGGGGATGGTGATGGGGAGGGGAGGGAGTAACAGGGGGATGGTGATGGGGAGGGGAGGGAGTAACAGGGGGATGGTGATGGGGAGGGGAGGGAGTAACAGGTGCATGGTGATAGGGAGGGGAGGGAGTAACAGGGGGATGGTGATGCGGAGGGGAGGGAGTAACAGGGGGATGGTGATGGGGAGGGGAGGGAGTAACAGGGGGATGGTGATGGGGAGGGGAGGGAGTAACAGGTGCATGGTGATAGGGAGGGGAGGGAGTAACAGGGGGATGGTGAAGGGGTAGGGGAGGGAGTAACAGGGGGATGGTGATGGGGAGGGGAGGGGAAAACAGGGAGATGTGAGAGGTGGATTTCTCTAAGTACTGTATCCCTGTAAGTTGATACATCATGCAACACAATGTCACATTTTGCTCCTTGTAGATTCCTTCACTATGGTGTATATCGGCACTCTGTCTTAAAGTAAATGTGGCTCATTGTCTTTTCTAAGGTACCCAGTACAAAACGTGTACAAGGTCTTCATGTGTTATGCAACTTACCGTAATTGTTATACTTTTTTCAAATGGTGGCGCAAACTCCATGAAACCTTTGTCATTAACCTTTGCAGCCTGTGTGGGCGTGAGATTTAGCTGTTCCTGCACGATGGCGCTGTCCAATATGACATACACAGGGACGGCGCTCATATTGGCACCGACTACTGCAGGAGTTGCACATTTCATATGCTTCCCTGAAGATTCTGGCTCACAGTCCTGTTTGGGGCAAGAAAAGTAAATGTCAGATGGATTCGTTAGTCCTTCGCCTTGAACCTATGTGGATCCTGGGGGACAACAGGTCCTTATGTGCGCATGTGCATGTGCGTGAGACATGGGATTGTTTAAAAATAAAATATTCAGACAAAAACAGTAAAAGAATACATATCTCTTCTCAGGTTTTACCCCGAAAATAAATAGCACGCTGGTTGCTCTAAAAAAAGTGTTTCCTCTTTTCACAGTATTTGTTTGGTGTGTGATGAAGCTGCCTCAAACAATAGTTCCAGTTCCCCCAAAAAATATTAGATTGTGGGTCCCCAATGTGTCGTCCTTACCGAAAAAGATTCCTGTCCAGAGGCATTGACCATCATCTGTGGTTTGGCCACGCTGTTGAGATTCTCCCCAGCTAGTGTAATGTAACACCCACCACTGGAGAGAAAACAAAAGTTAAAGGTCGACCAAAATATGAAATTCTTTACGTTTTGAGACATACGCCTACATAAATGGTTGACGATAATTCTCAAGAGATTGTGGAGAAAAATTAATGCTTACGTATACCGGTAATCATATTTGTCCACACACTTGTCAAAAAATTTTAAGTGATGTAGACTCTAGGGCTGGGACGAGTCCAAATTTACTACCCGGGTACCCGCCCCCCTATTACCCTACCCTACCCGGGTACCCACTGTAGGTCTCAGGAGATGTCTCAAAATGTCCGATTGGGAATATTTATAGCATAGCCCTGGCAAAACGTATTTAGATACATGTATTAAACAATCTGGTCATGCATACACTGAAGTTGACTTAAGTTACATCTTTATTCAACCATATGAAAAATCAGAAGGAATGGGTGCATAGTCAGAACGAAAAGCGAACATTAGTGACTTGTAGTGTAACCATAGAGTTCCAGATAATTTTAGTCATTAGACAATATATCACGTGACAAACCACGGGTCCGGGTAGTCCTATGGGTACCCGGGTCCTACTCTGTACCCACCCTACCATGCCCTACCCGGGTACCAGAGTTACCCGTCCCAGCCCTAGTAGACTCCTATGAAAGACATATATTTTCGAAAACATATTCATTACACATTGTGCATATGCTAGCACTTCCTTGACTATCCGTATCTCCACCGTATTGTAAATACCCTGAATCCATAGCTTCCTTTTGCGCCTAATTCAAATTACATGTTCTTAGAAATAGACGCCATTATAGACCTCCTGCCACTGTTGCCTATTGTGCTGAAAGTATCTTCCTATCTCATAGTAACCTTGTGTCTGAAGTACTACCTTCAAGTGAGATCTGATGTTTTACATATAAATTGTAAGACCTACGTTTTACAACTGAAGTTTTACAAACCTACTTTGAGGTTTCACAGTTGAATTGAAAGACCTATTACTATAAGGTATCACAATTTCTTTCTGTTTTCTTCTGGCATTTCTAACATTTAGACAGTTTATAAGGCAAGCATAACAAGCCTGACTGTCTTGTTTGTCTAAATACATGGGTACTCAGTGATTACTACATGCAATAGACTGTATAGAGATACTGGTTGATGCGAGTACCAGTGAGTTGCCGTATAGAATTAGCATGTGAATATTTTCTCTGAAAAGAACTTGTGTGGATTAGATTTTTACACTGTTTTTGCCCCAGTCACTCTGTCTTGTGACTTATACATAATGACATGTGGTGATCACAGTGAGGATTTCGTGGCATGGATATTGACATTTTGTGGGATAGTAATGATGGGATTACACTTACTTCAGTGTAGAATAGCTGTTAATATTACTGCCCCATTTGGGGGCACATTTGGGGACACATTTGGGGGAGGTGTCACTTGACAATATACATTAGAGAGTAAATGAAAAAAAGTTATATTTTTCTATAAGTATTTAATGTTATTTTCAACAGCACCACTGATATCATTATGGAGAGAAACATTACCTTTCAGCTGCTGTTGCAGAGGAGGGATTATCCGCAGACAGAGAAGGGTCGGGTTTGTAGGTAAATACATAAATGTAATTTAAAGGTGAACCTGTCCAGGTAAGAGACACAGGCTTAGCTCCTGTAGGTCGTCCTGGGGTCCGGAAGATAAGCTGAGTGTCTGATCTGGAACACAACGAGGGGTAACAGTACATGGGGGCCTGCATGTCATGAACAGTATCTGCACTATTGGAGTGAGTGAGTGAGTAAGTTTTATGGTTTTATGCCGTTTTTAGCAATATTCCAGCAATATCACGGTGGGGGACACCAGAAATGGGCTTCACGCATCGTACCCATGTGGGGAATCAAACCCGGGTCTTCTGCATGCCGAGCGAATGCTTTAACCACTAGGCTACCCGACCGCCCCTGCACTATTGGAATAAAGACATGGGGGATTAAACATCGTGGGTGAGTGAGTGAGTGAGTGAGTGAGTGAGTGAGTGAGTGGGTGTGGGCCACCGTGAGTGAGTTCAGTGAGTTGAGTGAGTCAGTGAGTGTGTTGGAGTGAGTCAGTGAGTGAGTCAGTGAGTGTGTTGGAGTGAGTCAGTGAGTGAGACCCTTGCATGTGTTTGTGACGAGTGCCACCAGTGAGACAGGATACTCTCACCTTTTCGTGAACACCAGGTGTCACCACTATTTGATAGTGATTCATAAACACATGCTTTTGCCATAGTCAGACTCTTTTGATTATCTAAATGGTTTTGTCGCTTCTTTTTTGTACCACACATACATGTAGGTACGGTGCTGACGGACAAGGGTCACAGAGAATTACAGTGCTATTGAGCACTGGGTCACTCCTGCCTTATGCACACTAACCCAGGGATGGACATTAGCGCCAGCCTGAAATTCCAGACCAATTTTGGTCATGTTAAAAGTACATGTACCCAATGGGCTAGTAGAATTTTGGGAGTGTAGCTGCATGTAATCGCCATTTGGTTAAGTAGACGTTCTTGGTTAAATTCCATCTCTGTAAACTAACTAAAGTAATGACTCTCACCTATTAATAAGAGGTTGTGGGGTTCCTATGGTAACGTTACTGTTTGTCAAGTAATGTCCCCTAATTGTCACCATGGTGCCACCAATCTCTGGACCAAACTGGGGAGACACACTTGTCACAAATGGTGTCTGAAAATACATCAGAAACAAAAGCCTTACTTATCTTCTAATTCATGGGACTACATTTCAGTTCCTTAAACCTCTTTGAGTTGCTGAGTTCTCTGCTTTCTGAGGAATTTTGATTTTCTGCAGAATTTGTTTAATGTTTGGTTTTATCAGCTGTTTAGGGACTGGTCATTTAGAGCAGGTCTAGGTAAGTCAGAGGGAATCAGGGGAGGGTCACCCAAGAATATGAAAGGGGATGGTTGTAAAATTAATACATATATTTTGGGGAAGGTCATGAAAAAATGGATATTTCAAAATGAAATATAAAGTAATTTTCTATTTGCTCTTTTCAGGGAGGGTCTTGGCAAAAAAATATACAATGACACAGGGAGGGTCATCCAAAAATATGACAAGCACTATGGTAGCGTCATTATTTTCAGTACATTAGAGAATCAAAAAACCTCTGACACCTCACCCCAACCCAACCCCTGTGTAATACATGACCGGTCCCTTAGCAATCAATGAATCTCCGTGAACTCTATCATGTTCTGCCTTAAAGGGGTAGCTTAGCCAGGTAGAACAAGAGACAACTAGTACAATATACACAGATTTATTTACATGAACATCATATATATAAGTAGCTAACAAATATATATATATACAATGGTGAGCATGCATAGACTTCCCAGGGATCGAGCATGTTCCTAGGAAGGCGAGAGCAAGTTTAATATTTAGGTGATTTAGAACATTGCAATGATATTATAATTTGATATTTTGTGCATTAAAGTATATTTTATGAATAACTACCATTAAAGTTTTTCTAACAGTTGTTTTTAGTATATAGCATCATTACAAAACTTATGTACATATTTAATGCTCATGATAACTCACTAACACAGTGTCTTGTTTTCAGTGATAACCAGATCAAAGACATTTTGATGAGAGAATCTTCAACATATATAACTGATCCTGCAGTTGATTTTGGTTAGGCTAAAAAAATTAATAGTCTTGGTTCTCAGGCAAGGCCCACATCATCATAAAGTTTGCCGCACATTTCATTTTTATTTCCATTTAAATATTTATTTTTTTTAAACCTTAAATATTCCAAGTCCAACGGTAGTCAAATACTGTATTCAAGTATTCTACTCATCAAGGAATACATTTATGTAGGGAGGCCCTTTCCCAGATTGATTGTACACAATTGTTTATTGATTACACAACTGTTTATTGGTTACATACTTATATAAGTTTGAACAACCCCCCAAAAAAGAAAAAAAGACACAGCCCACCCGCTCTATTTTTTCAAAAAACATTGCCTGAGCACCAATTCTTTTATTTTTTTAAGCCTTAACATGTTAAATGAAATTTCGTATTCAAAATTGTATTTAGCTTTGTAAAATTGGATTTCTACCTCCTTTAGGTGAAAACACCCTTCCCTACCAGGACATAGAAAAGCTACAATTAATGTATTGTTTTTATTAAATTTCTGATATAGGATTGTGTTGTGAGTTGTTGTGGGGTGGGTGAGTGTCTGCTGGCATTTTTATTGTGACAGAAATTAACTTTTCAGGGTTTAACAGTTCAAGCAAATAAATAACAGTTCTAATTTTCACATTTTTACAGCATCTTCATTAATAGTTTAGGTATAACAAGAATTAAATACAAGAATGATTGTCAGTTCAAAAAAGCTTCCTTGCAAGGTGTGTTGGTGTTTGTATTGCTAAATCCCATGGGTGTGTCAACCTTTCACAATTAAGGTTTTTGTGGGGGTATGTCTCAAAACTTAAAGAATTAATTTTTTATCTGACCTTAAACTTTTGAAATGTTTCCAAATATACGAAGCATATTACATCAAAACAAAATTATTAAGATGTTTTGATTAATTTCCCCAAAAATATAATCATCAATTAAAGATAAAAGACAACTTATATTCCAAATTATCACAAACATATATTAGAAAAAGCTATAGAAAAAATAAAAAATGCAGCGAAACTGTAAAACTTATTGATAGCACATTCAATAATATTAGCCAGGATAGCTGTCATCTCTTACGCAAGTTCTGTTGGTGTAATCCTCCTCTTCACACTGACACTGCCCCGACGGCCCCTTGTCACAGGTGCTGTTACTTGACCCCAGAGCGTTGCATCCACAGGCGGTGCATCCATCAGCTTTGGCCTTATTGAGTCCATAGAACCCATCCTTACATTCGCCACACTGACGTTCTGAAGGAGAGAAACAGTACCACAACAAACTCACATATAAAAGTAGAATTGAAAATGATGTCAAAGAAATATCTGTGATGTAATATGCAAGTGTTTAGATTAGGTCACCATTATTCCGACTATAGTGGCTGGTAAATAATCAGGTGAGGACCAGACATGCCTACTAGGGCTGGGACGAATCCAAATTTACTACATGTACCCGGATACCCACACCCCTATTACCCGACCCCACCGGGGTACCCGCTGTAGGTCTTAAGAGATAGGTACAAACTGTCCGATTGGTAAAAGTTTGACAGTAGCCCGAGCAAAATGTATCTAGATACATGTACACGTATAAAACGATCTGATCATGCATACACTGAAGTTGCCTGAAGTTTTATCTTTATTCAAACATACCTGTATATAAGTCAGAAGGAATGCGTTCATAGTCATGAAGAAGTGCGAACATCAGTGACTTGTGTAACCATGTAGTTATAGTGAATTTTTGTCATGCAACAATATATCACATGACTAACCACGGGCCCTAGTAGTCCTGTGGTTACCCGGGTCCTACTCAATACCCACATGACCCGAGTACCCGAGTTACCCGTCCCAGCCCTAATACCTACCGAAGCACATTAGGGCCATGCTGTGTATATAATCTTGAAAATTCAAGATACTTAGCTGACAATTCAAAATACTTAGTTGAAAATTCAAGATAGTATCTTAAAACTTCAAGAAATAAGAAAGATCACTTCAAGATACTGTCGAGAAATTTCAAGATAAACTGAATGCAGCAAGAGGACTTCCCAAGACTTCACTTTCTGCTTTGAGCTGGCACTGTTGCCAGACAAGATCTTGAATTCTCAAGATAAAAAAATAACTTTGTGACCTTAATGGTCTTCCGTACAAACCAGTGACTGAAAGAAGGAGTAACAAGCTGCATTATGAGGTCAATAAGCCAAGCCTAGAGTGTGAGAACTTGGACTCTTACAGCAAGCATAGGTTACTGGGGATCCCCTCATGGGTTGGTTGGTTGGTTGGTTGGTTGGTTGGTTGTTTAACGCTGCACTCAGCAATATTCCAGCTATATGACAGCGGTCTGTAAATAATCCAATCTGGACAAGACAATCCAGTGATTGATATCATGAGCACCGATCCACGCAATTGGCATCGATGACATGCATCAACCAAGTCAGTGAGCCAACCATCCTATCCCGTTAGTCGCCTCTGACGACAAGCATAGTCGCCTTTCATGGCAAGCATGGGTTGCTGAAGACCTATTCTACCCCTGGCTGGAGTTCTGAACCCTCTGTGAGTACCATATTTCATAAGGTGGCAATTAAGAACCCTGAGGTTTGTTTGTTTGTTTGTTTGTTTGTTTGTTTGTTGCTTAATATGTACTCAGCAATATTCCAGCTATATGACAGTGGTCTGTAATTAATCAAATCTGGATCAGACAATCCAATGATTGACATTATGAGCACTGATATTTACGCAATTTGGATACGATAACATGCATCAACGAGTCTGACCACCTGATCCCATTTGTCACCTTTTACGGCAAATATATGTTGCTGAAAGCCAGTTCCCACCTGGATCTTCACAGAGCAAACCATATGGTGCTTGTGGATATTGACAATGGTAGCTGAATCTAAGGACCCTCCAATTCTCTCATTTTTTGGATGAAGACTATGACAAGAACCTTCGACCATCACACATAATTTCAAATGCTGTGCATCACATGGAATAAAAACTAGCATTACTGTAAGTTATATCACTGTCTTACCTTGAACATTTGGTTTACAGTCACACTGGCCAGTTTCAACATTACAGACAAAACTGCTATTCTCGGTAGTTCCGCTAGTATCACACGCACATGGCAAACACCCATTCAGGTTCGTCCAGTAGTGCTTCTCATTGCATTCCGAACAGTTAGAGTTCATGACATTGTCTCTGCAGACACATTCCCCAGTTTCATTGTTGCAGGAGGAACTCCCCCGAGCATCACAGGATGATCTGGTACAACCGTCAGTGTTACTCCTAGAGAGATTATATGTGAGTGGTTTACAGGTGTCACACCGCACACCCTCCACATTCGACTTGCATAAACACGTCCCTCCAACCTGCAACCAAAACAATAAACTGTATCATGCTAATACTTCGTTCCATTTGTTCAAACGTTTAAATTGTTTCCAATGAGACTCACTACAATGTGATGTCTTGAGAACACAATGTAGCAAATAGCTGACATCATCCATTGTTTCAACGCCCCGAACTATTTTATGTTCCAGCAACAGAGTCACAGAGCTGATGCCACTCGAGATGAGAAAAGCCTCACTGTTCTTACTTTTCTCAGACATTAGACTAGGAGTAAAACAAAGAATAACCTCGGAATTGTGGATCATCTGTCCTACAAGAATTTAAGTTGAAAAGGCTGGTGGGGTAGCCTAGTGGTTAAAGTATTCGATCATCATGCTGAAGACCTGGGTTCAATTCCCCACATGGGTACAATGTGTAAAGCATATTTCTGGTGTCCCCCGCCATGATATTGCTGGAATATTGCTAAAAGCAGTGTAAAACTATACTCACTCAATTATGTAGAGAGCTCCTTGTCAATATTTTATCACTCACCTATATCACATACATATAATCCATGACAGCACCTATTTCCTACATTAATCTGTAAATAACCATCTAAAATTAAATAAATTTCTCTTACTATTTCACAGTTCCTGGAAACATTTTTGCCATCATCATGACAGTCGCATCTCTCGGTACATCCGAACCCAGTCTCCTCTCTGTAGTAGCCATTGACACACGACCTGCAGTGGTCACCTTCGGTCTGAGTCCGACATGTACACGTGTAACTGGACGCTCCTGTGGTCAGTGAACAAGCTGTGGCTGACCCGTCGCAGTCACACCTGGGGGCAACAGTGGATTACAACATTCATATATGGCTTAAAAAAATAAAAGAATTGGTTCTCAGGCAATGACTTTTGAATATATAGTGCGCGCAGACAGTGTTTTTTTTGTTTATGTTGTTTGTTCAAACTAGTATGTCACCAGATAAATATTTGTGTACCATCAACCTGGGAAAGGGCCTCCCTATATAAACAAGCATGCAAACTCCGATTGCCGCCATGACCATAACACGAGATGGGCAGTAAAGCAGTGTGCATGTAAAGGGAAGTAACTGCGTGCATTTGGATTGCATTGTTTTTAAGTATTAGAATTTTTTTTAAAAATTTAAAATGGAAATATATACGAAACGTGCGACAGACTTTTGGACGATGCGGGCGGTGCTTGAGAACCAAGACTTCTATGTTTTTTTAGCCTGTAGTGAAACCTCACCCAGTCAACACCCTATATTGTTGGATAAGCATTTCTCAGAAATTGACGGATAACAAAGTAGACAAAAGTTTATGGATCACAAGTTCTTTATCATACTGTGATAGCGACATCTGACAACAATTATCACACATACGAGTATATATACCTATTATATATAATTCTGTACCATGTCATAACTCAGTCTAGCTTGACGTATAAGGTGAGATGAAATGGGGTTCAACGTCGCGTCCAAGACTATTGCACTTATATAGCGACATGCATGCACGTGTGTGAGTGGCTGCTTGTACTTGTCCGGACTGATGATGATTTTTTAGTGCTGGACTCATGGGTTAATGTGGAAAATTGTCATTTAGGCCGATTTCACTTGGAACTATGCTGTTGGAATAATTGCAATTTCACTGTGCTAAGAGGATTTGGGATTTTGTACCAAACAAATAGTTCCCATCACAATAGAAAGGTCGCATGATCAAAGCTTAATAACAATCCTTATTTTGTCAGTATCATAACTGCACTCGTGGATTTCACCACAGAGGCAAAGTTCGAAGACCAGCACCAGCGTTCCTCTCATATGCCGCGATGTAACTGAAATACTGTTCATGCCGTCAATTAACCAAATTCACTCATTCACTCACTCACTTACTCATCCAACAAACTCGCTATTCACTCAATCACTATTCACTCACTGACCGCACGTTTTTCAATGACAAAGACACTCACTTTCCTAAGATGGTGATGCTTGTGATGATCAGGTTTTGAACAGTTCCAGAGGATCTACCACTGAATTTCATTTCGATTTTCTCAGCTATTGTCTTACCAAATGCTTCATAGTTTCGTGGTGGGGTACTGAAAAATAGAATTGATGGTTAGTAAATAACTATGTAAATTGTTACCACATTGCAACAACACTGAATTGCCTGATCAGAGTGACTCCAGACTTGATTATTTACATACCACTGTCATATAGCTGGAATATTGCTGAGTGCAGTGTTTAACAACAAACAAAAAACAAAGCACCATCACTGTGAGCACCTAGGTGATATACATCCAGGATACAACTTCCACCACTCTGTGCAAGAGTTATCTTAGACTGTCCAAATGACAACTGAGCGAGATTAGTCCCCAGTTAGTCCTGCACCATGACTGTGGAATATATTTATTTTATGAAAAAAAACACATCTAGAAAAGTATACAAAAGCAAGTCTAGCCAGCTCTAGCTAGCTCTTTATGAAATCAGCATAGGGAATTTCTTCTTTTTTTATAGTCAAGAAGGATATTGTGTAATATAAGTTTTCATAGACTAAATGTTAGTCTAGTCCCCAGTTTGTCATGCTTGTTGTAAGAGCCAGATCAGGTGGTCACAATACGACACTTTCTTTCATTTTGAGATATCTCACCTGTAAGGAAATTATTGCTGTTCATGCAATACACTAACGAGACATAGGAAGTTTCCTCCCTCCCTCTAACCAACACTGAGGGTGCCAACCCCCTCCTCCTCCCCTGAAGCCTGAATACCATCTCATTTTTCACCCTCAGGCTTACTGGCTCTCCTCTGAATCCCGAATACTGCCTGTCACAAATCTCAAAACCACATGACACAATTCACTCTACAAAGAATCTCAATCAGAAACAAAAACCTATAGAACACTTCCTAGGTCATAACAGGGTGGGATTTTAAGTTAAATTACTGAAAATAATAATGTATAGAAAAAATAAAATATATAAAGGAAATATCTACGCGCACCAATCTTTTTTAAAATGATTCTGCGTACCAAATACAATGTTATACCATGTACCACACTGCTAAGTCCAAAATACCCTCTAAACAGACCGCAGAATCCTGCGTACCCAAAGGGGGTTGGCAGCCTCAACATTAATGATGCATAAGTATTACCGTATATGGCCGTATATTCAGTCACACTAAACAGACAAGGTACCTCTTTATTTTACAGGAGGTGCGGCTAACTGTGTACAGAGAGGAGTTAACTTGATTCTTCGTCCCGTTTGACTCAAAGTTCCATTCTGTCGTTGTTGGTGATGATCCGTTAGCACTAAACATTACAGTTACCTCTGTTACCTGTAACAGTCATACGACAAGGACTGAGTATTGACAGGGGTGATATATTGCAATACACAGAGGCTGTATAAGGATACAGAAGTGTTATCAAGCGAGTGTTTCAGGATGGTAAATATCCTGTATTTGGAATAAATATTGTATATTTAGTGAGCCAAGGGTCATGAAAAAATGAACATTTTATAATAAAGTTGTTGCCAAATATATTTAATATTCCATGACTCATCTCTGTTTTCTTGTTCTCTCACTCTTACCCCTGGTTGTCTTACCAGCAGAATCTCCTGCACATCCCTGGGGTGTGACGTGGACACTGTCATATGTCATTTGGCACGCCACCCTTATCTGCTTTCTTAATTTCCTTATGGTAAGCTAATCAATAGAATCAATTGTGATCCTGGAATCTAAATTATAAATGTAATCATTTGTGAATATCCTACTCGGTCAAGAGGCATCGCATTGCACAAGATTACTTATTCAAACACACAGTTAAAGCCCCATCCAGTGAGTAGGATTGTGAGTGAAAGGTATGTTTAAGTTCCATTTCTATCATGTATATATTTCCTTATTATAGAAAATATCATAAATATGTTACTTTTTAATGTTGTGACATTACACCTAACGTGTGCCGCCAAAAATATTCATTGTTACATCCAATCTATATAAAGTAACAGCTTCAGAAAATTGTATTTAGCTACCTACTCAGAGTATCAATGTTAAAATACTGTATTTAGACAATATATTCTGATATCATTTTGTCATATGCTAAATATTTGTATTTTCCAGACTCTCTGTCACACCACATACAAGGAGAGACGTTCTTGTTTCCTAAGACTGGACATCAAGTAATACTGATGTCATCCATATCTTTTACAGACAATAAATCCTTCTAAATCATCTTCACCGCCTCAGTCCTCTCAATTACATCCTCAGCCAGAACCAACGACAAGATATAAAGTGTTTTTGCATTTTGTCTTTTCATGGAGGGTCATAAAAAAATGACAAGCATTAGGGGAGGGTTATTATTTGCAGTACATAAGTGTATCAAAAACCTCTGAGCCCCCTAATAAATGACAAGTCCCTAAAGAAAGAAAATAATTTTGTCTCATTAAAATCAGATCTTTTACTTCCACATAACACCTTCCTGAAGATCTGAGCTCCCATCTGGATGAACTTTCTACTGGGCCAGTCAGCATCAAGGCTTCTAATTTCTCTGTACAACCATGACAAATTAACTATAGCATAACGCCCCTGGGTAGCCTTGTTGGGATTATTTACGAGTTGGGCCAGAGCAGACTCGTGTTAATAGTAAGTATCGGCGACCCGAAACAAGTTACGACTACCATATATGACAGCGGATAAGTTGACCCCGTAGATAAGCCGAGATGTTAACTTGACCTTTGAAATACGAAAGAAAATGATATGACCTGCAGATAAGCCGAACCAGGAAGTGAAAGGCAAAAAACACTGCGAAGTCGGAATGCAAGACATGTGCCGGTACTTGCAGATATTCAAAAATATAAGATGAAAAACGTTGTAATTATATTGGAAAAGTCATTATTATTTCTAATAAAGATTTAACAAACCAGTCATCCACTTTCATAATGTGGGAAGCTGTTTCTCTTGTTTTTTTAATCTCATATTGATCGTTATATGTTGCCATCAACAGGGAAGCGCCATTTTGTGAATCGGTGTATATAGAATTATGAACCCGTGAGAAAATATATCGGCTAGAGCGAAGACTCGCAGTTTGTACACAAGTTCGCCAGCTAAAATTACATGTTGAACACACAAATGTATAAATCAACAAAGATTTAATAACCTTACAATATTTTAATAGATGTAGCACTTATAAACTTTCTGTCTAAACTATTGCAGCAGTTATAATTACGATTACTTCCAATTTACATTTAATATTTACCCGAACGTGATGGAAGTTGAAATCTGTGACCCCACCTCAAGCCAAAATGAAAACATGGATCCCTCCCCCCTTGCACTAATTGGCACCATGTCTAAAAATAGATAACCCCTATTGTATCAATAGTAATATAAAAGAAAGGTTGTCCTTAACTTCTTTTGAGTAGTATAGGTATACAACGTAGGGATGACTTGGACACTCTTTAAGATCATTGAAGGCAGAAAGACCAGGGGTGTGGAAGCCAATACCACTAATTATTATGAGGTGTGGAAATGTGAAGTCAATACATGGGCATGGGTGTCCCAGTCGTCAAAGGCGCCACAATGTTCTGTGCTGAGTTGTGTCCCTTAGGTGTGCCAGGATCCTATGATTGGATCTCTTTCTCAGCACCAACCAGTTTGCTGTAAACATCTAAGACCATCACAGGCAAGTGAGTTAACTGACTAAAAAAGTACAGTTTCCACCCTTGCCGAACTAGACTGGTATTATGGAGTTACATTTTTTGCAGTGTTTGCATAGTCCAATCAAAATCGTGCACCAAAATCGACATCCGGTTCGTAAACTGTCGTGCAGATTTCGATCGATTGCAGGATTTGCAAAGTATGTGCACCACCAACTCGTTGTCAGCAGATATTTTCCGAATCTTTTCATGTTTTCAATCAAGGTGCTCAGGTGATTTGATGCATTTCGCAATGTAAGAATCGTTTTATCACAATATAGATCTTGATTATCGATCAGATCGTTCTGACTGTGTGCCACCATATTAAGTGAAGCAAACGCAAGTGATGGAATCTGATTGGTCCTTAGGAGAGGCTTAAAAGGGACAAAACTGGTAAAAGCCACTGGTGGCGCTACGATTGAGCCCAGTAATTCCAGGCTAGTTCGGCAAGGATGGAAACTGGACTTTTAAAGTCAGTTAACTCTCTTGCATCTGGAAGATGATCTTAGACCTGCATGACTGTGCATGCTGTGACTGAAATGCTGTTCATAGTGACGTTTGTGGTCTTGTGGTAGAGCATCCGTCTGGAAAGCGGAAGGCCAGGGTTTGATCCCAGTTCTCGTCATACCAAAAGACGTTAAAAGATGGTACTTGTTGTTACCCTGTCTAGCACTCGGCACTAAGGATCTAAAACAAGGACTGGTCGACTCGGAGTGAGTACACTGTGTCAAAGTGTAGCAGTCATGTTCAACGGTGACATGGTATCTCAGTGGGCTAGCAGTATTAGTCGACATAAGTCGCCACACGCGTTGCTATATAAGTGCAACAATATTGGATGCAAAGTTAAACCCCATTTCAGCTCCCCTCATAGTGACATTAAACACAAACTCACACACTCATTGATAGTCTGTCTTACAGACCCTGATACAAATATATATCTAATACAGCCCATACAAGTTTATAATGTTTGGCAAGTCTAGATTACTGCAGTATCTGAAAATGAAGAGAGTCACTGGGCTCCCTTTTATTATATTTTTATTAAGATAACTGAACAACTGTTTTTTCTGTACGATATGTTCATGTCAGAGACTAGATGGTAGACTAATTCATAGACGACATGTCTGAAACAGCTTACCTGGAAAGAGTTCTTCAGATCTATCATGACAGTGACATCTCCAGTTTCTTTGGAGGCCCAATTGAATGAAGCATTTTTCAGTACATCATCAATGCCATGGAGTGTTTTTGTTAATCTTTTGATAGGACTTCCAGTTCCACCTGAACAGTTAAGCCCATCAGTTGATATATCCGGATCGGACACAGGGCAACGACAGTCCGACTCTAATGACTCCACTGGGAAGGTACCAGTATAGAGCTCTTCAATTTCTCTGGTGACAAAAACACAATATAAGGAACAAGACAGTAAGATTCAATGTGTGGTGATTCAATACATTCAGATACATATATGCCATCATGATAGTAATGTTTTGATATGATACAGAGGATATTACTGGAATTTTTAAATATTCTTCGTAAGACTATAGGTTACAGCAACCCATGCTTGTCATGAGAGGCGACTAACGTGATAGGGAGGTCAGACTCGCTGACTTGTTGATGCATATATATCCCAGTGTGTAGATCGATGCTCATGATGCTCATGACATCAATCACTGGATTGTACAGACCCTCGTCCAAAAGCTGGCATATTGCTGTGTGTGGCGTTAAACAACAAACACAGCATATCTCATGAGAACATTACCATGAGATAAATCCAATACACGCTCCAATACAGTTGGTTTCTATCAATCTCGATACTCTTTTGCATTGACAGTGGAAATAATCTGCATTCAATTTTTATGCATACAGGATACAATATTTTGTGTGGCTAAAACTTTTTTATAGGTACATGCAGGGCTCGAGATAAGCTGCGCATTTGCGTAAACTACGCTTTAAATAAACTGAAATACGCAGACAAATCGAATCCAATAAGCAACAAAAACTTAAAATACCCTATTGAAATAAAATTAATAGGTTTATTACAACTATTAAATAAAACGATTGCATAAATAACAATCAGATAAAATGCTTGTGTATCAGCTGATCGCCAAATTCACTTACAGACAGTTACATTCGGAAAACATTCTGCGACAGACATACTGATAGATACTGAAGTCTATGTACATGTTGTATCTTATACAGTCACTGATTGGAGATTACAAAAAGCCACCTTTCTTACAATGTTGGGTTTTGCAAACAAATATGGCTTCCCGGAGAGGGAGATGAAAGCAAGCGCAGACGGGTATACTACTCCTCATCTGGTTCTAAATGACTTACAGGGATTCTTCCGAAACAGGTTTTCAATCTAAATTACCCAAATGTCAAGAAACAGGTGGGTATTATCAATTTGAATACACTCTAAAAATTGTGGATACCCAATCAAAATCAAACCCCTGGGGAAAATAGCAAATAAGCAAAAGCGTATCTAGAGCTCTGAAAAGGACTATGACCCTGTGCCCCACACAACCCACCTCTCAGTCAGCCCGTCATTGTAGAACCTCCCATCCAGCAGCAGCAGAAAATCAGTCCCTAGCAAACCTGACAGGAAAAAATTGTTTGATAGGCATTACTTAGATGTTGATGGATGACAAGGAAGACACAATTTTATGGATAACAACTTCATTAATACTGTAAAAAGCTATGTTTCGGTATAGATCCTTATACCGTTGTTAAGCAAGACAAACCTGACAGGAGAAGAACATTCTGGACATGAACATTCTGGACATTAACATTCAGGACACTAACATTCACATTCCAGACATTAACATCCTGAACACTAACATTCACATTCCGGACATTAACAATCCGGACATTAACTTTCTGGACATTAACATCCTGGGCATTGACATCCTGGACATTAACATTTTGGACATTAACATCCTGGACATTAACATTTTGGACATTGACATTATGGACATTAACATTACGGACATTAACATTCCAGACATTAACATTCTGGACATTAACAATCCATACATTAACATTCTGGACATTAACATCCTGGACATTAACAATCCGTACATTAACATTCTGGACATTAACATCCTGGACATTAACATTTTGGACATTGACATTACGGACATTAACATCCTGGACATTAACATTACGGACATTCACATTCCGGACATTAACAATCCGGACATTAACTTTCTGGACATTAACATCCTGGGCATTGACATCCTTGACATTAACATTTTGGACATTAACATCCTGGACATTAACATTTTGGACATTGACATTATGGACATTAACATTACGGACATTAACATTCCAGACATTAACATCCTGGACATTAACAATCCATACATTAACATTCTGGACATTAACATCCTGGACATTAACAATCCGTACATTAACATCCTGGACATTAACATTTTGGACATTGACATTACGGACATTAACATTCTGGACATTAACATCCTTGACATTAACATTACGGACATTGACATTACGGACATTAACATCCTGGACATCAACATTTTGGACATCAACATTACGGACATTAACATTACGGACATTAACATTCCAGACATTAACATTCTGGACATTAACAATCCGTACATTAACATTCTGGACATTAACATCCTGGACATTAACATTCCGGACATTGACATTATGGACATTGACATTACGGACATTGACATTCTGGACATTAACATCCTGGACATTAAGATTACGGACATTAAGATTACGGACATTAACATTATGGACATTGACATTACGGACATTAACATCCTGGACATCAACATTTTGGACATCAACATTACGGACATTAACATTACGGACATTAACATTACAGACATTGACATTACAGACATTAACATTACGGAAATTGACATTACGGACATTAACACCCCTGGACATTAACATTTTGGACATTGACATTCTGGACATTAACATTACGGACATTGACATTACGGACATTAACATCCTGGACATCAACATTTTGGACATCAACATTACGGACATTAACATTACGGACATTAACACCCCTGGACATTAACATTTTGGACATTGACATTCTGGTCATTAACATTACGGACATTGACATTACGGACATTAACATCCTGGACATCAACATTTTGGACATTGACATTACGGACATTAAGATTACGGACATTGACATTATGGACATTGACATTACGGACATTGACATTACGGACATTAACATTACGGACATTGACATTACGGACATTAACATCCTGGACATCAACATTTTGGACATCAACATTACTGACATTAACATTACAGACATTAACATTTTGGACATTGACATTACGGACATTAACATTCCAGACATTAACAATCCGGGTATTAACATTCTGGACATTTACATCCTGGACATTAACATGTTGGACATTGACATTACGGACATTAACATTACGGACATTAACATTCTGGACATTAACATTTTGGACATTAACATTACGGACATTGACATCCTGGACATTAACATTACGGACATAAACATTACGGACATTAACATCCTGGACATTAACATTACGGACATTAACATTCTGCACTTTCACATTCTGGACATTAACATTTGTGCAAGGTCATGAATACATATGTCTTCAGTCAACACTCTTTCAGTCCTTCACCTTATGGATTTAACCAACCAGAGCTAAAAGCCACAATCAGAAAAATATCATAAAAATAGACAAAAGTTACATGTGCATGATTGATCAATCTTTGACTATTGGACTACAACCAGGCCTTTTGCTCTGATATGATAAAAGAGGCATCAGATTGGAGTAAAAGATCTGAGATTAATGCGATTGTATCCTTAATAACCCAAACAACTCACATCAAATATACATTGACATTACGGACATTAACATCCTGGACATCAACATTTTGGACATTGACATTACGGACATTAACATTACGGACATTGACATTAACATTCTGGACATTAACATTTTGGACATTGACATTACGGACATTGACATTACGGACATTAACATTACGGACATTGACATTACAGACATAAACATTACGGACATTGACATCCTTGACATTAACATTACGGACATTAACATTCTGCACTTTCACATTCTGGACATTAACATTACGGACATTGACATTACGGACATTAACATTACGAACATTGACATTACGGACATTAACATCCTGGACATCAACATTTTGGACATCAATTTTACGGACATTAACATTACGGACATTAACATTTTGGACATTGACATTACGGACATTAACATTCCAGACATTAACAATCCGGGTATTAACATTCTGGACATTAACATCCTGGACATTAACATGTTGGACATTGACATTACGGACATTAACATTCTGGACATTAACATTCTGGACATTAACATTACGGACATTGACATCCTGGACATTGACATCCTGGACATTAACATGTTGGACATTAACATTACGGACATTAACATCCTGGACATTAACATTCCAGACATTAACATTCTGGACATTAACATTACGGACATTGACATCCTGGACATTAACATTACGGACATTGACATCCTGGACATTAACATTACGGACATTAACATTCTGCACTTTCACATTCTGGACATTAACATTTGTGCAAGGTCATGAATACATATGTCTTCAGTCAACACTCTTTCAGTCCTTCACCTTATGGATTTAACCAACCAGAGCCAAAAGCCACAATCAGGAAAATAACATAAATATAGACAAAAGTTACATGTGCATGATTGATCAATCTTTGACTATTGGACTACAACCAGGCCTTTTGCTCTGATATGATAAAAGAGGCATCAGATTGGAGTAAAAGATCTGAGATTAATGAGATTGTATCCTTAATAACCCAAACAACTCACATCAAATATAATTTAAACACAATAACTATTTATAAGGCACAACTGTACTATTATTTTGACCTACCTAACCTCTAAATCTGTAAACAATAACCTGAAAACACTATTACCTCAACATCGCATTCATTTCTGAATTCTAGATTATTGAAGATTTTTTAATCCTCATGCCTCATGAAAACCTCAAATATTCTTATTCCTTTTTGATATTTGGTTGTTTTTGTAGTCAGATGCAAACTGCTTTACTGAAAAGCTGTTGTAAACAGAATTTCAAAAGTACCTCAACAATAACTTGAAACAACAGGAAATATGAATACTTTTTGTCATTTTAAGGTAAATATACTGTCACCAAACAACATCTACCTGTTTCAGGTCCAAGCACCAGAGTGCTACCTCGCAAAGTAGGTGTTCCTGTCACAGTTTCTTTAGTATTGTTTATATACACATCAAACATCGTAGCAGATCTCTGAAACACGAGAAACATGAATTGTTTGATCCGCATTACTTAGAAGTTGACGGAAGTAGACACAGTTCATGGATAGCAACTTCTTTAATACTGTAAAGGCGACGTTTGGTATAGATCCTTATACCACAGATCTTACTTGACAACAGTTTAAGGATCTATATCGAAATGCCGCCTTTACAGTATTAAAGAAGTTGCTATCCATAAATTGTGTCTACTTTGACGAGAAACATGGTTTGAGAAACATGACATCTGTTCCTATTCAAACACATAAATGGATAATACAATCCCTTTACAATACATTATCTTATTGCAAAAATAAAATAATTTGAAATATATCCAATGACCAAATGATTTTCCCTCTAAAATACATGATAAAACTATCAGGAAAAATATACATAGATAATGATTTTGCGTACAATACTTATCTTGTCATGGCTCAAATGTCAGGTCTAAAATGGATTACCCTATTACCCTAAAAAACTCAATCACATGGATGTTTGCTCACACTATCAATCACTGGTATGGATGGTTGATTGTGCTATCAACCACTAGCATGGATGGTTTATTGTGCTATCAATCACTAGCATGGATGGTTGATTGTGCTATCAATCACTAGCATGGATGGTTGATTGTGCTATCAACCACTAGCATGGATGGTTTATTGTGCTCTCAATCACTAGCATGGATGGTTGATTGTGCTATCAATCACTAGCATGGATGGTTGATTGTGCTATCAACCCCAAGCATGGATGGTTGATTGTGCTATCAATCACTGGCATGGATGGTTGTTTGTGCGATCAATCACTGGCATGGATGGTTGATTGTGCTATCAATCACTGGCATGGATGGTTGATTGTGCTATCAATAACTGGCATGGATGGTTGATTGTGCTATCAATCACTGGCATGGATGGCTGATTGTGCCATCAATCACTGGCATGGATGGTTGATTCTGCTATAAACCCCCGGCATGGATGGCTGATTGTGCCATCAATCACTGGCATGGATGGTTGATTCTGCTATAAACCCCCGGCATGGATGGTTGATTGTGCTATCAATCAACCACAGGTATGGAGTGCTGCTCAAACTATCAACCACTGGCATGGAGTGTTGCTCACACTAACAATCCGTAGCATGGATTGTTGCTCACACTATCAACCCCTGGCGTTGAGTGTTGCTCACACTAACAATCCGTAGCATGGAGTGCTGCTCAAACTATCAACCCCTGGCATGGAGTGTTGCTCACACTAACAATCCGTAGCATGGAGTGTTGCTCACACTATCAACCCCTGGCGTGGAGTGTTGCTCACACTATCAACAACTGGTATGGAGTGTTGCTCACACTATCAACCCTTGGCATGGAGTGTTGCTCACAGTATCGACCACTGGCATGGGTTATAGATTATGGTCTGCCATGTCATGAATCTAGACCCGCGATTCGCTGTGCAGAGTTGCATCCCTTGGGCACACCAGAAACCTATGATTATGGGTTCCAATCCCGGTTCACCCTGATTATGTTTCTAGGTTTGTCAGCACCATACCCCTGCTCATGGGTTTCGGCGAACTGGTAAAAGTAACATTAAGCTGACACGCCACTATGTAACTGGACTACTGTTAAAAGCAGTGTTAAACCCAACTCACTCACACCAGTGAAGATGCCCCTGATGACAGGTGAAGTCTGTACCGGACATCAGACTGTTTACACCTACCTTTGTAAGAACAACATGGACAAAGTCTGATTCTGTGACAGATGGTGCCACAGTCACACGGTGGGAGTTCACAACTAGGCTGTTCCTATCAAGCTTCACTGTGAGCTCTGGGGTACCACCAACCCTCAGAACAGTGCTGAAACCAGAACAGGAATAATATGCAAGAGCAACTGCCATAATTCATGATACTGTCAATACTAGTAAAGAGTATCATGGAGCGGGTTCAGTTGGCCCAGTTGAATAAAATGCACAATTCATTAAGAGTTGCTTGCATCCCTCAGGTGTGCCAGACTCAGGTGATTCTTTATCAGGACTTCCTACCAATAAGTGTTATGTTCATGTGAAACAGTGACATATTTGGGTGTGATGAATAGAAAACTCTAGATGTAGATACCGTCCCATGAACAGTTGAATAGACATGATGTTGCACTAATAGTGTTTGGTTAAGAATTCTTGATGACGGGGCAGTGGGCGCCTAGTGGTTAAGGTATTAGCTCATTGCGGAAGTCCCGGTTCGATTCCCCACATGGGTACAATGTGTGAAGCCCATTTCTGTTGTCCCCCACCATGATATTGCTGAAATATTGATAAAAGTGGTGTAAAGCAATACTCACTCACTCTTGATGACAGATTATAGTTTTTAGGTCAGTTGTATATAATCCACGGAGTCACCACACGTTTTTAGTTAGTTCTTTTCTGCGTGGCTGCTGTATTTTTAATGTTCTAGGGATTGGGTATGGGGAGGCATGCGTGTGCGTTCGTGCGTGTGTCTGTGTGCGTGCGCGGGGAGCATCAGTATACTTACCAGCTAGGAGAACACGTTCCTTGTATCCAGAAAGAAATACTAAAGTTTTCTGGTGAAGAACCAGCGTTCACCGTCGTGTTGACATTACAAGGTGTACTATCACTGGAATTGGTAAAGTAGTTACCATTCCGCCTATCAACACCAGCAGGGCCAGAGACTTGCTGTGGGTCACTACACTCACTATTAACCGTTAATGTGGTCAAACTAGGAAATGAAGTCCTTGACCCACTGCGACACGACAAAGAACACACTCCGAATGATTCACACCGTTCTTCTGAGATCGAGTCACAAGTGCCTTGACATTCGTCCGTAGTAGTCGCTTGACTGCTTCCTTGCAAGTTTTGGGGGCTTTGGCTTGGAGCCATATAACTACACGACACTTGACGAACATAGATACAAAACATGACACAGAATGTCAGCGTGCCGACCGGATATCGTCTGCTAATCGCCAGCTCCATTATTCACAGATTTGCGCTTGCGGTTACCACGCAACAGATGCAGGCACGTGATGGTCTTTTGCAATTAGTCACGACATTCGGTATTGGGACAGGTGAGTCTGAAACGAGAATTGCCTGTCTTAATAAATAGTAACAAACTAGGGTCATTAACTAGGATCTTTAGGAAATGTCCTGACCGATCTGTAAGTATGAAATTACCAATAGTACTTCGTGCTAATACTACATACAGTAGGGTAGGCAACTAGCAGGCGTGCTAAGAAGCGGTTGTACAAGTCGCAATTCCAGGAACTCATTATTGGTCAGTAAAGAAAAATATATACCCCGATATCAGAATTCTCTACTTAAAAATAGGGGTATATGTTTTTATATATACTGACCAATAACGAGTTCCTGTGGTCGCAATATAGTTGCCTTACACTGTTGTTCTTTGAAGTTTCATGGTACAAATTAGTTAAACAAGGTGGCAAAATGTCTTTGTGGAGACAACGAGAGTCTATCAATGCCATTATACCACAGCTAAATGTAGGAGGTGGGGGAAGGCTTGTGGTTTAAGCGGTCGCTCGTCACGCCGAAGAGCCAGGTTCGATCCCCCACATGGGTACAATGTGTGAAACTGTGATATTGCTGGAATATTGCTAAAAGCTGCGTAAAACCATACTCACTCACTCACTAATGTGGGAGGAAAGCCCGAAGCGATGCAGGTCTCAGACGTTTACCACTTTAGTGAAACCCAGGAGCACGGGCGTGATGCTGACAAACCTGGAACGTAATCGGGGCGATCCGGGATTCGAACCACCGATTATAGTTTTCTGGCATGCCTAAGGGACATAACTCAGTGCAACGAATTGTCGCGCTTTAGACTGCTGGGAACACCGAATCCCCAGTTATCTAGAAAATTATATATATTGTTAACCTCCCATGCCATGCAAAGAACGACGGCAAAAGAAAGTATTCACTTGAAAATTGGATTTGACCAAAATATTACAAACGTCATCAAAACGTTACTAGGATGAAAACAGTTGCTGAAACACACACGCCTATACCTAAGGTAAAAAACACAACTGTGTTACCCGTATCAAAATACATCGGAATGGAATAACCATTTCTAGTTTGTTTCATATTAGCCATCATTAAAAACGGGGGTACGAGTATGCATATTTTAGCCTGCAGGTGATATTGTAAAATCATCCAATTTGGGATGGAGCTAGGGGGAGTGATGGTATAACATTGCCGGCCGTGAACGGTGTTTCAGTTATATGACGGCGTGTCTGCTTAATGTGGGAGGGAGGCCCGAAGTGATGCCTGGCAAAACTAGCAACATTGTCGCAGCCCATCTGGGATTAGATACCCCGAACACTGAATACCGGAAAGGACGGAACTCTGCACAGAATGAAAATGAGACATTTTTCCTTTCAATACTATCATGTTTTGGACTACTAAATGTAGGGATGTGAAGATATTCGCACTCCGAATTTCGGCGCCTCGGACTAATGGACACCTGTATCCCCTTTTTGGCGGCTGAGTATATAATTAACCTATTGTAAGGTACAAATGTGGCTTTCTTTTTACACCTACCAGGCATATACACATATAGGTGTTGATGGGATATAAACATAGTTGTACATTGGATATATATGCATAGGTACATAATTTGTCCGTCGGGTTCATGAGGACCGCACATGCTCCTGATGGAATACGGTAAGTACTACAGTGTTATATATAAACAGAAAGGTGTCGCTATATGACGGCGTTACGATTTCACTCACTCACTCACTCACTCACCCACTCACTCACCCACCCAATCACCCACCCACTCACTCACTCGCTCACTCACTCACTCACTAAACCACACAATCACCCACTCACTCATCCACCCACCCACTCACTCACTCACTCACTCACTCACCCACCCACTCCAAGTTGAGACCTTATGTGCTGGAGCTCGTAACAGGATACCGACTCAAGACCCATTTGCACATGAATTATCATATATGTTTAAATTTACATAAACATGTACGTGTGTAAACTTCCACATACGAGGGGTGTTCAATAAGTTTTGCAACTTCAATATAAGATCAAGTCGCAGAATATCTTTTGCACTTTTATTTTTCAATATAATCTCCATTCGCCTCAATACACTTATTCCCTTTGTCCTTCAAGCTTTTAATACCACTTTTATAGAAATCCGCAGATTGGCCCTCTAACCACGCCTCTGTGGCAGCCTTAATGTCCTCGTCATCCTGTAAGCGTCTTCCACATAGGGCAGAGTTCATTTGCCGGAGCAGAAAATAGCCACTGGGGGCCAAGTCTGGGGTGTGGGGTGGGGTGATATTCTGCGACTTGATCTTATATTGAAGTTACAAAACTTATTGAACACCCCTCGTACGTTGGTACATTTACATTAGCTTTTGATGTTGTGCAAAGGTGATTCGCATGTGTGCAAATTTAGTAAGCGAACTCAGTATTGATTCAGACAATCGGAAAGTTAAGTAAAACATTTTAAAACATCTTTGTACATAGAAATATGTTTCCATGCATCAGTTTTGATAGTCAGATTATATATTCATATTTTACAATAAACTTATGGTCTTTCTTTCTTCCAGTGTTTATTTGATGCCACAAAATACGACAACCCAGGTCGAGCAGAAAATTCAAATTTCAGCTTTAGATGACGTCAACACTGAACACATCCTTCAAGAAACATTTGTCACGAGCCGTTTTGAATTCAGCAAATCAGATGGTTAGGTTAGAGATATAGCTGACCTCGATGATAAAATCATTAAAAACGTCGAAATATTAACACTTACATAGATGGTGTAGTTGTCATAGAATGTTCTTGGCATCTTTTGTTTTTGTTGTATTGGATGTAGAAGTAAGAAATACCAGACCGTGCAGTCGAGACATTTCGTTACATAATTACCACTTTTACATCCTGGTCCAGGGTACTTAAATGCAGAATGGAAATATAATACACTTGTCAAGCGAGGATGATAATAAGAAGGCCTGTCACATCTATTTGCCTCATAGAGCACGGATTTATATCCTTTACGCCACATAGTTGTTGCTCGAAATCGTGACTTCCTTATTTGTTTATGGCTCTGTATAGGGATATTCGATCTCATTACAATAAGATCCCAGTTCTCGCTAATGCTAAAGAAAGATTTTCGAACGTTCCATTACGAAACATGCCAGAACCACCTTCCGAGGTAGAGAAGATCTGATTATAAATGGGATTTGATATTCATATAGAGACATGATTTATGCGACTCATAATTTAACCCCCGGCCTCCAAGTTGCCCATTGCCCATTGCCTATTACCGATCAGTGATAATTTAACCCCCGACCTCCCGTTTGATTACCAATCAGTGATAATTTAACCCCCGACCTCCCGTTTGCCCATTGTCCATTGCCTATCACCAAGCAGTGATAATGTAACCCCCGACCTCCCGTTTGCCCATTGTTCATTGCCTATTACCAATCAGTGATAATTTAACCTCCGACCTCCCGTTTGTCCATTGTCCATTGCCTATTATCAATCAGTGATAATTTAACCCCCGACCTCCCGTTTGCCCATTGTCCATTGCCTATTATCAATCAGTGATAATTTAACCCCCGACCTCCCGTTTGCCCATTGTCCACTGCCTATTACCAATCAGTGATAATTTAACCCCCGACCTCCCGTTTGCCCATTGTCCACTGCCTATCACCAATCACTGATAATTTAACCTCCGACCTCCCGTCTGCCCATTGTCCATTGCCTATTACCAATCAGTGATAGTTTAACCACCGACCTCCCGTTTGCCCATTGTCCATTGCCTATTTCCAATCAGTGATAATTTAACCCCCGACCTCCCGTTTGCCCATTGTCCATTGCCTTTTACCAATCAGTGATAATGTAACCCCCGGCCTCCCGTTTGCCCATTGCTCATTGCCTATTACCAATCAGTGATAATTTAACCCCCGACCTCCCGTTTTCCCATTGTCCATTGCCTATTACCAATCAGTGATAATTTAACCCCCGGCCTCCCGTTTGCCCATTGTCCATTGCCTATTACCAATCAGTGATTATATAAATCCTGGCTTCCAGTTTCCATCGCTATCACATATCAGCGTTAATTAACTGTTAAGTGTTAGCTTCCATTTGCCCTTTGCTAATCACCTGTCAGCGCCAATCTTTTGGCTTTCCTTGCTAAGTTTAACCTTTGTTATCGTTTTACTTTTGTTGTTCTCACTTTTTACTTTTGTTGTTCTTACAGGTACATATATATGCTCCCATGAAGGAGTAAGTATATACCGCGAAACGTTGTGTTCCTCATAATAAAGAAGTTGACACCTATAAATTCTCTTCCTTGTGTGTATCACTTCTAAATGCCTTTCAAAGACTTGACTCATTTCACGCCCTTGTTTATCGTTTTTGGGACAACAGAATAATTGTGTTTTATAACAACCAATTGTGTTTTCTGTTGTTCATAAATATTGAGACTTGAAGCATTAAAGAGCAAGGTATAATGGCACTTATTGAAATACCGGAGATGGCGAATTTCCGAAAAGTTTAGAAATATTGGTAAGAAAATAAGCAGACTTGTTCAATATGGCCGACAACTAGTCTCCTGTGTCTTTCTTGCACTTGCAAGTTCTGATATGAGCAAGTACACCCGCACAGCTGCATGTACACGATCCCTAGTTGGTTGGTTTGTTAACGCCGCACTCAGCAATATTCCAGCTATATGACGGCGGTCTGGACCAGACAATCCAGTGATTGACATCATGATCCATGCAATTGGGATCGATGACATGCATCAACCAGGTCAGCGAGCCTGACCACCCGATCCCGTTAGTCGCCTTTTACGACAAGCATAGTCGCCTTTTACGGCAAGCATGGGTTGCTGAAGACCTATTCTACCCCGGACCGTCACGGGTCACACGGTCCCTAGTATGGTGGCCTATCTTTGGTTGCTGGTGATCTATAAGCCCATTTTTATATTGCATTGTTGAATGATAATGTATTCTTATAAATATTCTAAACTATTTTTTAAATCGAAACTGTGATACTCTAGTTATTATACTTCCATCGTTGACTTCCCTCATATTCGGCTTT